TCTAGTTTGGCTTCTCTCTTAAGCATTTTCCATGTGGGAATTGGTGGGGAATGGCAGGCAGTAAATTCAGATATTGTATCTGAGCCCTGTTCTTCCTAGGTCCTTACTTCCAGTCCTTGTTCTCACCCCAGACTCATGTCAGACGGAGAAACATCATGAAGAAGTCCTGCGTGCCTTGCGCAGAACTACCTATCATTGGCAAGAACTGAGGTAAGGGAGACGAGAAGGGCTGCAGAAGAAGGCAAAGTTTGGCTTTTGAGAAGGAGAGTTGGGGAAGTACAATTACACCATGTAGTGTTTGAAAAAGCAGTCTGGTTTGTAAGCCTTCCTAAGACTTGTCTGTGTTGAGCCCTGAAAGGATTGAGCTGCAGGAGCCCTTTACAAAGATTTCATTTCCTAAAAGTCTGGAGGGTAGCTGCAGGATAGTGGTTAATTCCCAGTGGTATGTCTTCTTTTTCTGGCAGCTACAATGAGGGACTGAGCCTGGTGTATATGGCAGCAAGACTGGATGGTGGCTTTGCAGCAGTCTCCAGAGCTTTCCATGAGGTGAAATTCCCTCAACTTCCAACCAGAAACTTTTTACTATCAGTTCCCTTTTTCATAAAGTAATCTTCTGGGGCAGGATTCTTGGGACATTACATGTGCATTTTTTTCAAGAGGTTCTCTTTATCCGCTGAAAGGAATTTTTGACCCAAAAAAGGTTTAGAGTCACTGTTTTAAGAGCTTACATGTAAGCATTTACATTGCCTTAAATGTAAGGCATTTATATTGAATCTTAAAAGACATTCATGTCTCATTTCCTCTGTTGCAGTCCCCTAATTCATGTTTACCAAGACCCTAAATAAGTGTCTGTCTTCCCCACTGTGGGGTATTGAATATTTCTTCAGATCCAAGCTCGACTTCCAGAGTTCCAGCCACAAACCTTGATGGACTTCGGCTCAGGTACTGGCTCTGTCACCTGGTGAGTATCTTTCTCTGTCTCTGTCAGTTCTAACTCTAGAGAGCTAGAGCTAGCTTATACCATGTCAATATCAAGAGACTGGAGAACCAAAGGAAGAAGAGGAAAATTGGGAACTGATGTGTTTCTTCCCTCAGATTAAACAAGGCATGAGAAGTTATATAAATTAGGATCAGAACTTAAAGAATATGTCAAGTGAAAAAACCCATGTTTAGAAGGATAAAAAAGGAAACTAATTTGATCTCGGACAGAGATTTACATATCATCAAGATTATTTTGTGTGTGTTCAAGTAGTTTTTGAGTCTTCTTAAGAGTTGTAGATGAAATAAGAAAATAACATTGCTCGTTTTTCCAACTATTTTAACATAGCACTCTGTTTCCCCAAGGTTAGGTTAGGGGCAGAGGGGTCTTTGTAGGAATAACTTTGTCATGAGAACTGATGATTTATTTTTTGTGACTTTAGGGCTGCTCATAGTACTTGGGGCCAGAGCCTACGTGAGTATATGTGTGTGGACAGCTCAGCTGCCATGTTGGAATTGGCAGAAAAGCTACTGAAAGGTGAGGACAAAATGTAAGGAAGGGCTTTCCCAAAGTTGAATGCATTTACAAATCAAAGGAGTACCAGAAAGGGTCTTTTATTGGGGGATAGAGGCGAGGCCTGAAAGTTAAAGATGAGTCTGATGCAGTGACCCTGTTGAAGATGCTGGAGGCCTTTGTTGGACTGTGGATGGGTAGGGTAAGAAGAACAGGACAAATGACCCAATATTCCCCTGCCCTTTTTTTTAATAGTTGTCTACTCTGTTGCATCTCACCCTCAGCTAGCATTTTGTCCCTTCAGTTTATACCTACACTCACAGTTGCCACATCTCTACTTTCCTCCACAGGTGGTTCAGGATCTGGGATGCCTTGTGTTCCAGGTGTCTTTTTCAGACAGTTTCTACCTGTATCACCCAAGGCAAGTGGCAGTGTTTAAAGTATGCCAGATGTGGAGTATGCAGATGGAAAACTGTGGCCCTGGCTTTACAACCTAGCATTGAATGTTAGAAAGTAAAAGAAAGCAGAAGAAATTTAGTGGGATAGACCTCTGTTGTACTCTTTGAAAGAGGGAGATGTCAGGTTGGTCATTTTCCTTGTCTTGGGCACCAGGTACAATTCGATGTGGTGGTCGCAGCCTTTTCCCTCAGTGAACTGCCCAGCAAGGCCAGCTGCACTGATGTGGTCCAGACCTTGTGGCGCAAGACAGGTCGTTTTCTGGTAAGTGGAAGCCCCTTTCCCCTCAAGTTTTTAAGCGACTTCATGGGTTTGTTTCATGCCTTTCCTTATCCCCATTGGAGCTTGTCTTCATTGTTAACCATTTTCCTCCTACATAGATCCCTTTGTCCCTCTTTTCAGGTCTCCATCTACATCATATATGTAATACCCGTTTCATTTAAAATCCCTACTCTATTTGGGAATGCTCTTACAGAGCTACCGACATTTTATGTTTTCATGTAATTCAAGGCTTCTTACTTTCCCCTTTTGTAATCAGGTATTGGTAGAGAATGGAACAAAAGCTGGGCACTCCCTTCTCATGGACGCCAGGGACGTGGTCCTTAACGTAAGGTTCTTTCGCCTTCTTTCACCTTACCCTCCTTTCCCTGCTTATTCTCACCAGTTCTTGGCACTCCCCTGAAAACTGAAGGGACTGGCATATATGAATAAGGATGACTCTGAAGATAATAGGCACATGAAGTAGTTATGATATAGGGTAGTAGTTGGCAAACTCCAGCCTATGGATCAGGTCCAGCCTGCCACCTGTTTTTATATGAGCCGTGCTTATTTGTGCATCTATAACCATGTGTCTGTGGCTATAGGTCTGTTGCCTGTGGCTATTTTCACCATACAGATAGCAGTAGGAAACAAATTTTGTCTAGTCTCTGGACTTCTAAGTTTTTTTCTTTTTTTTTTTTGCCAGCCCCTGATCCAGGGTACTTCTGATCTAAGAACCAGTTTAGGACCATATGAACCAGTGTATAATTGCAAATTTCATTGTCTTGAAATGGAATTTTTTTTTCAGAGTGAAGGTTACTGACAAGGGAGAGCACCATACTATGTGTCAAATTTCTGCCTTTCTCCTGCTGCAAAGAGAAAGTTCTTTGTTTGGAGTATTAGAGAAACAGCCAGCTTAATTCAAAGAACATAGTTAATAATTACCAGAATTGAATGTTAAAGGAGTCCTCAATTTATGGAGTGCAGAGATTGAGTTAGAACAGACCCCTCCGCCCAGCCTAAATTTTTTTTATTTCCTTTGATTTCAGGGAAAAGAAAAGTCACCTTTGGACCCTCGACCTGGTTTTGTCTTTGCCCCAGTGAGTATTACTTCTGCCTTTCCCAGCAAGCAAAGATCTGAACTCAGGGCTGGCCAGGAAAAGAGCTAGCCACCAGCCACTCTTGAGTCCCTATCCAGCCTCCTCCTCAGTGATTCCGCGGGCCTGCCCTTCACCTGCTCTGCGCTCCCTTAGCCCTGGCCCTTCTTGGCTCTCTTACTCGTAGTTTCTGGTTTTTACGATCTGTGGTTCTTTTGTCTTACCTCATCTTTGTCTTCACAGTGTCCCCATGAACTTCCGTGTCCCCAGTTGACAGCCTCTAAGCCCCTGGCCTGTAGCTTGTCCCAGGCGTACCATCCCATCCCCTTCAGCTGGGTATGTACTCTGGGAATACTGTGGTGGGGAGAAAATAGCCTGGGAAAGCACAATGAAAGAGATTCAGAGACAGGAGGATTTGGGAACTTCAGAGAATGCTTGGAGATTTTAGGGTCTGAATGTATATGACTTATAGAATATGTGAAGAGTCACAGGAATGAGGTTTGAAGAAATTTTTTTTCCCTCATCTTTTCCTGCAAGCCATCTCTGTATCCTTGTCTTAGAATAAGAAGCCAAAGGAAGAAAAGTTCTCCTTGGTAATCCTTGCCCGAGGATCTCCAGAGGAGGCTAAGCGCTGGCCCCGAATCACTCAGCCTGTTCTTAAACGGCCCCGCCATGTGCATTGTCACCTGTGCTGTCCAGATGGACGTATGCAGCATGCTGTGGTCACAGCCCGCAGACATGGCAGGTATGGAGGGTATGGCCAGAATTAGTGGGAGGTAGCAAGAGTCTGCAGCCCACATTGACCCTCTCTTTTCTGTAGGGATTTGTATCGCTGTGCCCGGGTCAGTTCCTGGGGAGATCTTTTACCTGTGATCACACCATCGGAACTTCCTCCATCCCCTGCTCAAGATGCCCCTGAGAGTTGACACAGATGTGTGACAGGTGTTTTCTTCTCTCTTGACGGCGGCCCAGGCCAAGGCCTGGTCCAGGATGGGAGTGCTAGTACTGTTACGGCAAAAAAGCTAGTTCAAATATCCTCCATCATAGTCGGCCTTATTCTTCGAACTCACTCGGCCATCCTCTCGCAGCTGCTTTTCTTTCTTAATTGCACTTCTCAGATGATTGCCTTCTAGCTAGAATTGTACGGTACACCTGGTGTTTACTTCTCCAAGAAAACACTCCCTGACACTCCCTTCCCTTGTGAGCATCATTCATTCCAGAAAGAAGGTCATGCATGGTGTGATCATCTCAAGGACCACCAGAATCAGTCCCAGGAGCACCTAACACCAACTTTGACAATTTTGAAAATTTCTGGAAGTGAAGAATGCAAGCTTGATCTACCCCGATCCTTATCTATGGTCCTGGTTTCCACCCTCAAACTATAAGACCCCTTGCTGTTCTCTCTCTAGGGAGGGCACAGTCTGTAGGACATTGACCTGCAGTGGCCTCCTTTACCTGGCACAATAAAAAAACTACTCTTTTATACTTCACCCCAAATTCTGTCTTTATGTTTCTGTTCACTCTGATGAACAGAGACGAGTTTCAGCTACAGTACCCCTATATACCTGTGTTCACTTGAAGGTTTAATAATAATAAAAAGTTTTCAAAGAATGGAAATGAATCTTGCGATTTCTTAAAAGGTATAGAGGTCTGTTGTCATGGCCTATCCTATAATGAAGAGAATCCTCAGATTTTCAGTGGTCCCCACACAAGTCTCCAGCTCATCCTGTCCTGGAAGAATCCTGCTGCTTCCACCAGATAATGGGGGGAAGGAGAAAGTCACCCCCAGTTTCCTGAGAACTGGCTCAACAGGTCTCAGGGTTGTTACGCAGGCCACCTGAACAGGGGAGTCAACAGCTGCTTGGCTGCTATTTTTTTCTGCCTTCTTCCCTTTCAACTTTCTCAGCTTCCTCAGAGTTAACCTCATACACGTTTACCTCAAGAGTCTGTTCCCCTCAGGTCTCAATCTTCCATCTCCATCTCTACATGTCCAGGCAGGAGCCTTCAGTATATGTGGTTCGTTTCCGTTTTCCCCTAGGCCTTGCTGTTTCAGAACTAGAGCAACTTTCTTCTTAAAACTCTCAGTCCCTCTTCTATAATTTATATCAGGAAAAAGGCATAGTCAAAAGTTGTAACAGTATCAGCGTTGTAATACTAGAAATCTCAACTTCTTGTAGACATTTCCATGCCTGGAGCTATTTCTCTGGAGTGTCAGGCTAGGGGAGTCCCCTCCTGTACTAGTTCTCACAGGGTGATGGCAGCTCCCCTTGCCAGCCCCACCTCCTTGTCCCAAGTGGCCCCAAATCCCCTTTGAAAGGATGCAGTTCAAGTTTCAACAGAGCAACCTAAAGGACTTGAGGTGGAGTAGACAGGGTATAGAAGGCTTAGGTCAAATGTCCTGAGTGAGGCAGGATCAGATTGTCCCCAGGACAGAACAGCTGGGAAGAGCTACTAAAGACACTCTGGATTAGAACAGCCCCAGGCCAGAACTAAGACAGCCCCTGGATTAGTCCCGGCAATGAAGAGAAGGAGAAGACACTGCACCAGGCCATGCCTGGCAGGGAGTCTGGAGTTTCTGGTTTCTAAACTCAGGAAGGCGTCAGCCAGGGGAGGGGCCTGCATGAGGGGAAGGGTGAAAAACGGGCTGGGCAAGCTTCCTATGTAAGGCTACGCAAGAAGAGGCAACATAGACCAGAGAGAGGATCTGCAATAGCCTCCTGAAACAGGAGAGTGAACAGCTCTGACCACCTGAGACACCCCTCCTGCTCCAAAGACTATAACTCCATTTGTCTTTCTGAGGCCTCAACTAACCCTGTACCACAAGGATGGAGCCACTACTAGGAGCAAAAATTGGCTGCCTATTTGCCCTGCTGGTGCTGACTCTGGTCTGTGGCCTTATTCCCATCCGCTTCAAATGGTTCCAGACTGCTACAGCCACAGGTACAGCCCTATCACATCTTTGTCCCCATTACCTAAGTCTGACTTCAGCCTTGTCACTGTCCTGATATCTTGCTCTGATTCTCTCATCATCCCCAGTCTTCGGACATTGAGTGCTGCCCGTGGCTCCTTAGTCACCTTCTTCTTATCTCCTCTTTGCCAACTGGGTTGTAACTCCTGCTTTGAATTAGGTTGTCACCGCCGGGTCCTCAGTTTCCTGGGCTGCACGTCTGCTGGCGTTTTCCTGGGAGCGGGGTTCATGCACATGACCGCTGAAGCCTTGGAGGGAATTAAATCAGAGATCCAGAACTTGGTGATACAGGTGAGCGGCAGACCTACCAGGCCATGAGGCCAGAATGATGAGCAGAACGAGGGGAAGAAAGGGGAAAAAGTGACAAAGCCAAGGACAGAAGGAACGACAAGGAAGATGACGGCTCTTGTATGGAGTGATGGAAACAGGTCAGATTGGCCTTGAAGGAAAGTGGTAGAGCCAATGGCACAGAACAGGAAGCTGAGCTGCTTTCCCTCATCTAATTTGTGCTTTTTTCTCCCTAGAACAGGACAAAGAGTGAGAGGCATTCTGATGATGATGCTGATTCAGCTTATGTAAGTGTCTCCCACCAGCCCTTACCTGCACAGTAAGGAGAACCAGAGATTACTTTCATGCCCAGACCTTTTTGAGAGGATTTATGTGTGGAATTCTAAGAATTCCTCCTACCCCTCAGCTCTAGCATTGTTGTTGGCAAGGAAAGGTGGAGCCACTCAATCCTTCTGGGCTTATGAAACCCAGAGAGAACTCTTGTTTAACCTTCCATTCTTTCTCTGGACCCTTTGATATGCTTCCTATCATTTTCCCGTATTTCTAACCCTATTGATATTCTTTCCTTATTTCCTCAGGTTTTCTTGTGGTCAAACGTCCATGTCTCCTCTTGGCTTCGTTCCCCTTTTGTATGTTCTGTTACCACACTTCCCATTCTCTTCAGCCCAGTCCCAATCCTGTGCAATTTCTTCCCTTCCTTACTTCCCCCAGGGCTCAGCAGTAAAGAAACCACCATCAACGCAGGAGACTCGAGTTCGATCCCTGGGTGGGGAAGAACCCCTGGAGAAGGAGATGGCAACCCACTCCAGTATCCTTGCCTGGAAAATCCCATGGAACCTGGCAGGCTGCAGTCCAGAGGATCACAAAGAGTTGTATATGATTGAGCACAGGCACAGCACACTTTCCCATCTCACAACCCCTCTTTCTGTTCCCACCCAGATGGACTATCCCTACGGAGAGCTCATCATCTCCCTGGGCTTCTTCCTTGTCTTCTTTTTGGAGTCGCTGGCATTGCAGTGCTGTCCTGGGGCTGCTGAAACACCCGAAGTGCAGGAGCAGGAACTGGGGACAGCTCATGAGCTTGAACCTCACAGCCATGGACTTCTCCCCTCCCCTTCACGGGGTCCCTTCCGGGCCCTCATCCTCTTGCTCTCTCTCTCCTTTCACTCCGTGTTTGAAGGTCTCGCTGTGGGGCTGCAGCTCACAGTCGCTTCTACGGTGCAGCTGTGTCTTGCTGTCCTGGCTCACAAGGGGATCGTAGTGTTTGGCGTAGGACTGCGGCTGGTGCAGGTAGGCACTGAATCACGTTGGGCCATGCTCTCCATTCTGTCTTTAGCTCTCATGTCCCCTCTGGGCCTAGCCGTAGGGCTGGCTGTGCCTCAAGGGGACTCTAAAGCTGGACAAGGTTTGGCGCAAGCTGTGTTAGAAGGCATGGCAGCTGGTACGTTCCTGTATGTCACCTTCCTGGAAATTCTGCCCCGGGAACTCGCAAGTCCTGAAGCCCCTCTGGCCAAGTGGAGCTGTGTAGCTGCTGGTTTTGCTTTTATGGCCATCATTGCCTTGTGGGCCTGAGAGATTCCTGACTTTTCTGATGGACCCAAGATGACCTACCTACCCCCAGGAGAAGCTGCTCAAATAACTTCACCCTCTGACATTTCTTCCCTGAGACACAGTGACATTTACTAGGCATTATGCCGTAACCTGGACCCCAACTTTTCACCACATGAGATGCCATTTCTCATACAGGACTGAGAAAAAGTTGTTTTGGTTGAGTGCTTATAAATGAAAGGATTTCACTCTTGTCCCGTTTATGCTGTTATGTGTAATAAAATGTCATTTTGTCCTTCTCCTTCAGCTATGCTGTGCTTCATTTCTCTGGGTTGCCTAGGAAGTGCCTGGTTCAGGAGGTGGTGGAGTGGCGAGCGGGAAGGGTGAGTGTGGGACACAGTCTTGTTTTCTGGAATTGGGCCCCAGTCATTCATTCTGTCAGTTGCAGGCCCAGCCCCTCCAGATATGGGAGCATTGCTGAAATTCCAACAACTCATGACCACCTTATGCACGTGTGTGTATGTCTGTGTGTGTGTGTCTGTGTGTGTGTGTGTGTGTGTAAGTCACTTCAGTCATGTCCGACTCTTTGCAACCCTGTGGACCGCAGCCCGCCGGGTTCCTCTGTCCATGGGATTTCTCCAGGCAAGAATACAGGAGTAGTTTGCCATGCCCTCCTCCAGGGGATCTGCCCAACCCAGGGATTGAACCTGCATCTCTTACGTCTCCTTCATTGGTAGGAGCATGGTTTACCACTGGCGCCACCTAGGAAGCCTCCTCACGCACAGATTTGAGAAGCTGAGCCAGAGGTCCCACATTCAGAAAGAGGCTTAGGGATCTAGCTTTTTCTCCTATGCTATCCACACCCACCCTACTCCCAGTGCCTGTTATCAGCCTCCCACAAAGTATCCAACGGATTCTTGAGATAAAACTAAATGGAGGCTATTTCCATATGCTTCCTCTGTTTCATGCTGAGCCCCATGTGGCTTCAGGGACACTCTTGCTCTTCTTGGAGTCTCTGTCTCCTTCCAGCAGCCTTCTAGCTGAGGGATTAAGAAGCAGTGTGTTTGGAGAGAGAGAGAGATGCCAGATAGATGTCTGGGGTGATTACTGGGCTCACCCCATGACTTAGTGACTTTCTTTCTGCCTGCCTTACCTGCCACTATGGCTGCAGCCCCTCCTTTCTAGACCATTTGCCTTTCAGTTTGAGTAACTCTTACAATGTGTTGCTTCTCTCAAGAGCTGCTAAGGACATATACATTATCTAAAACCGAGGGGGAGCAGATGACTGTTGCCCAGCCACTGATGCATGGGATGGAGGAACGTATCAGACTTCATGGAGAAATAGGGAAAGAGAAGGTGTGCCCTGTGCACTCAACTGCTCACCAGTTTGCTCCTTCTCATATTTTTGGTATTTAACTGACCTTAACACAGACAAGGTCTCCTGACTTTCATTCTTGTCTCAGTCTATCTCCTGTCCCATTCCTCTTCCCCTTCCCGTAAATTTAAGATACACAAACCTCCGCACCAACCCAGCTTACAATCACAGGGATCAGTTGAGAAGGCAAGCCTCGGGCAAAGCTAAATAAAAATGTCTGACAAGGGAAATAATTTCCCTGAAGCATCATCCTATTTTGTTTTCCCTTTAGTATTAATTGCACTCACATGGAATACACTCCAGTGCAGTAATAATAGAATTTCTATGCTGAGCATCTGGCACTGTTCTATTGCTTTCACATATATTATCTCACCTTCCCAACGGTACCAGGTAAATATTATCCCTATGGTAAGTCAAGGGAGGTACTAGAAAAGTTAAATAACTTAGTAGCTAACTGGGCTTCAAACCTGTGTTTCTGTGATTCTAAGAAAAACTCAAGATGTAGCTTTTCTTCTCCTACCTTACCTTTCCCTCCCCATCTTCCACGTTAGGGTTTCATAAGAAAGCAGACAGCACTTTGGATAAGTGAGACAAGCTTAATAAAGGGAGTGTATAGAAAGGTGTGGGCAGGGTTTAGACAGAGCAACAAGGGATGGTGCAATTCCTTGGGGCTGAGTAATAACAATGCTGTTACCTGGGCTGAACAGAGGGAGCTAGCAACCAGAAACTAGAGGGCTGTCCAATAAGAGCTGTGGCCTTGGTACAGGGAAACAACCAACTTTGCCGGGACCAGGAGTTAGAGGAGTATCCTCATTCTCCTTCTACCCTGTGGCCTGCTGCCAGCATCTCCTGTTGGCCATACCCAAACAAAACCAAGGACACAAATGTCTACGGGTGATTGCGCATAGGTCAGCCTTGTGAGGCACAGGTCCTAAAGAACTCTGGAAGGGCAAACAGAAGACATTCCACACACCATCGATTCTCTGCTGCCTTCGACTCCAGTAATCGTGCCAGGACTTTGGAAGGGACATGATTATGTGGAAGTTAGCTATTTCTGGTACTGAGGCTTTGTATGACTAGAAAGGAATCTCGAGGAGGAATACATTAAACTCTGGGGCTCTCCATATGTTTCTGGGTCACGATGCTATCAGCATTTGATAACAATGAGCAGAGGCTGGAGATTTCAAGCGTGAGTGGGTCATGCATTTTTTTGCTTCCTCCCAACCCACGGGCCTTTAGATTTCCCTTCTCCTCCTCTGCTTTCAGCCATCCTTCCAAAGTCCATTTCCTTTTCCTTTCTCAAGGTTCTCACCAACCAGGAACCATCTTTAGTTTGAACCATATTGTATCAAGAGCTGGAACAGAGCTAGGGAATGCCACAGAGAGAGACACTGGGATGAAGAAAAGGAACAATCCTGATCATTTTCAAAAGCTCTGAATCCCAGCAAGGAGCCAGAAAGGGCTCTAAGGGAGAAGATGATAAGTGTGATTTCTGAACGAGCTAGAAATGAGGAAGAATGGAATAAGAACCATAGGACAGGAGGGAGAGCTGAGTTAACTGGGTCCTGGTGACTAGAAGCCAGATTCAGGAGTGAACCCTGATTCACTCAGCCTTGAAAGATAGATTGTAACTGAAGAAAATTAGAATCATGAGAGTTGAAATATAAAAATTTCAGAGCGAAGATATACAGGTTGGAAGAGTGGATAAGAGGAGAAACTAGTTGGAATAATCACAAGAGAGTTTATACAAATAGTTTTCAAATCTTCTCAAGTCTTCTTTCTGTGTCTGTTCCTCACCCATCTTCTCCATGCCATCTATTTTTTACATATTTAAACAGGAAAAAAGAAAATCTGAAACAGAAGAATGAAACCTCCAACTTCCTTCCCACTCTGAGCCAGCTTTCCATTTTTGCACCAATAAATGATTCTCTGGGAGAGTTCCCTGGTGATCTAGTGGTTACTTTCACTGCCATAGCCCGGGTTCAATCCCTGCTCAGGGAACAGATTCCACAAGTCTCGTGGAGTGACCAAAAAATAAATTAATTACAAATTAAAAAATAATTCTTTGAAGTAATCCTTGGGAACTCCCCTCCTTTCCTTTGCTTATGAGCTAAGGGTTGGGTTTAGATATTGCTGCTGTATGGAAAAAGGGAGATGGGGAACTGCATACTGAACAGTATTCAGTGAATACCTCAGAGTCAGGTGGGAGGCCAGTCAGAGAACAATACATGTGAGCAAGACACACCCAGGAACAAAAACCAAAGAGCTCTGAACCAATTCTTATGAGGCAACTCATGCCATTTCACCCCTCCCCCGAAGGACAGTTTTCCAATGTCTTGCCAGAGGAAATGGTCCCTTGCTCCTGCCTCTGGGTGATAGAGTAAGAAACAGCTAATTGGGGTGGGTTGGTAACGTGAGTGTGCCAATCAGCCAGATACCCTCACATTTCCCCACCCCACCCCAGCCCCCAACCTGAGGGGGAAGCCCATGGTTACTAGCAAAGGTGAAGCAAAAATGGATACAGACAGGGGTGACACCGACCCCCACCCCCAGTCTGTGAAGATGCTTAAAAACACCAGTTGTCAATTATTTCCTTTTTTATTTCAGTTTTTGTTGTGAGTTACTTTTTTTATATAACTTTATTTAAATAAATAATGTTTAAATAGATAAAATTATATAAAAAAAGTAACAACAAAAACTGAAATAAAAAAGGAAATAATTGGCAACTGGTGTCTTTAATAATCTCCACAGACTGGGAGTGGAGGTGGTAACTTTATTTATTTATTTGGCCTTCCCTGGTGGCTCAGATGGTAAAGAATCTGCCTGCAGTGCAGGAGGCCCAGGTTCAATCCCTGGGTTGGGAAGATCCCCTGGAGAAGGAAATGGCAACCCACTCCAGTATCCTTGCCTAGGAAATCCCATGGACACAGGAGCCTGGAGGGCTGCAGTACATGGGGTCGCAAGGAGTCAAACACGACTGAGCAGCTAACACACAGATTTATTTATTTGGCTGTGCAGGGTCTTCACTGCTGTGTGAAGGCTTTCTCTAACTCTCTAGCCAAGAGTGCGGGGGCTACTCCCCAGTTGCAGTGTGTGGGCTTCTCATTGCGGCGGCTTGTCTTGTTGCGGAGCACAGTCTCTAGACTCATGGGCTTCAGCAGTTGCAGCACAGAGGCCTATTAGTTGTGGCTCTCAGGCCCTAGAACTCACTGGCTTCAAGAGTTGTGGTGTGGGGGCTTCAGCAGTTTCAGTTGAGGTGTGTGGGCTCTACGGACTCAGTACTTGTGGTGCACAAGCTTAGTTGCTTCACGGCAAGTGGGATCTTCCCAGTCCAGGGATTGAACCCATGTTTCCCTGCATTGGCAGGCTGACTTTTATCCACTGTACCACCAGGAAAGTCCCTGAGTTACTTTCTTTAGGTTCGTTGAAAGTGAAAAAACAGGAAAGAAGCATTCTATTTTTACTGTATATTCATCCAGTTGAAGGAAAATTCTAATGTTGGTGAGAAAAGGTTATGTTGTGACTTACAATGTTCTGGGTACTGATTACCCTGACCACACCCCTGGCCTCTGGTCAGAACTGACTCACAGTTTCCACTTTAGTCCTAAAATCTCTGTAGAAGAGTGGTATCTCCCACTCTAGCTGTTCCCCGTTAGAGGAGTGCTCTCTAAAGCTTAACATCCATCCTCCCTCTGCAGTTTCACCACTTGTGTGTTACTTCAGAGAATCACCCTTTCATAGCTCTTTAGTAGTTCCAGAATTTTTAAGGGCTCTCATCACTGTGTTCTAGTTTTGATTTCCTTTCCATGGCACCCTTGCTTAGCTGTCTTGGGCTTCTGTCCCTAAAGTCAGGGAAACATTCCTTGAGAATAAGAGGAAGAGAGAAACAAGAATCCTAAGCCTGAAGCCAAGACAAAAGAGAGGTAGTTTGTGGTTTGACATCTATTAAGTCCCCTCACCTCTCCTCTAAGCTCTGATCTTGAGAATGGGCAAGAGCCACAGACCATTGCTGACCATGCTATCAGGCCTTCCCTCCAGAGCCACCACTAGAATCACAAAGAGCTGTGGGAGACTTTGGAAGGGACCTGGGAGCTAGGGAAAGTTAGAAGAACCATGCCAACCACAGGGGGGCACTGCATCCCTATGGGCTAGCCTGGAGTTCGCAGGACCAGCAAAGCAGAGAGGTCAGTCAAGGACAGCAAAGCCCCTCTCCCTTGCTCCCAGCAGACAGCATCTCCCCCTCTACTTAATTCTTGGGTTTGTTAAAGATGTAGATAGATCTGTAGGAGAGAGAGATACAGTCATCACCCATTCACACTCACCTCCATGGCAGATACACACTCTCTGATATGTATACACAAATGTAATTTACTCCCTCTTCTGAAGAGTACCCTGATAACAGTGTTATCTTTGTAGGTAAACGTACTGAGAAGACTGGCCTTCCCTTCCATAATGAACAACAGCTGGCATTGCTGGTCAAGGCTGTAAGTTCTTTGCCTTTTCTGCATGTTTATCTAGGAGCTGTTTGGCCCAATGTTCCAACTATGCTGTTTTGTTTCTTTAGCATGGCATTTAAGCCCTGCTTGCTGTCTACCCTGTGTGTGGTTGGTCAACACCCTCATCATCCATAGCCAGCTCTGTAACTTCTGTATCTCTGTGGGTGTGCACACATGCTAAGTCGCTTCCGTCATGTCCAACTCTGCGACCCAATGGACTGCAGCCTGCCAGGCTTCTCTGTCCATGGGATTCTCCAGGCAGGAATACTGGAGTGGGTTGCCATTCCCTTCTCCAGGGTTTGTATCTCTGCTAGTCACCTAATACTGCCCCCTTCTGATCCTGGCCTACCGCATTTAAGATAGATTTCGTCCTGTGTGAGACAGTGAGGAAATGCTCAAGATTCAAGTATACATTCCACGCTCCACTTTGATGCCAATGTGTCAGCACCAGATCTCAAGCTACATTAGTCCTTAGCTCAGTTTCACTGAGGAAAGTGCAATTGCCTATGGCGTTTCTATTATATGAAGTAATCTAACAAATGACCTTGTAACAATCCATCTACAATCCTCTTGCCAGTAACACTGTATGGTGCCTTCTCATTTTTACTTCTTGTGCCCCAAGAGCATAAGAATCAGCCTGCAATAGCCACAGACTATCTAAAGTCCTCTTGATCACTGTTCTCACTTGAAAAGCTTCTCGAAAACCACACACATAGTCTAATTAACTCCCTGATTCACAGAAGAGGAGAAATTCCTGAGAGGAAATCCTCTCTTTTGCTGTAACTCTCCTGAAGGAGTCTTCAGATTGGCATCAACTAGGAGCAATCCAACCTCTCTAGCAACTGCATGAGGCCTGGTCTACTGACTGTATCGATCAATCGAAAATGAAATCTATAGAACCCTCGGGAGGATCCTGCCAGAAAATGAGTCAAAAGATGTCCTTGGGACACTTGTGTCAGTTTTCTATGCTTCCTTCTTTAAAGCACGATGTTGGTGATGTCTCTAAAATCCTATGGCATTTCTCAGTGGGTCAGACCACTGATAAGGAAGTCTCTTGAGATCTGAGTACCTCCTCTGGCCCCCAACTGGGATATCCTATCAATATCAAGGACAATACCACACTATTGGAGTAGGGACCAGTGACCATGAGGTCACATTTTATAGTGTTAGTCTATGCTATACAGGGGCCTCCCTGGCGGCTTAGACAGTAAGAATCTGCCTACGATACAGGAGTCTGGGGTTCAGTCCATGGGTCAGGAAGATCCCCTGGAAGAGGGCATGGCAACCCACTCCAGTATCCTTGCCTGGAGAATCTCATGGACAGAGGAGCCTGGCGGGCTACATACAGTCCATGGGGTCCGCAAGAGTTGGGCATGACTGCGCAACTACCACTTGTGCTACACCAGCCCTCTCCTGTGGTTTTGTCACCTTGAGAAGAGAAATGAAAGGGCTGAGTAGGGGGAGGCAGAAAAGGGACACGAGGCAGGCACATTCAGACCCAGAAGAATAGTGGAGCTCAGATTCCTCTACAGTTTATTGTTACAGCAGAAGTTGTGGGAGACAGGAGGGCACCCCCCACATATCACACACTGTGGTCAGAGCCCCAAGGCAGCCCTTCCCACCCCCATGCCAAGCCCCAAGCAGCCATGCCCAGCTTGGCTCCCCCCGCCCACCCCCCTCTAGACACACGCTGTCTAGATAGCTACCAAAGTTAGAGCAGCCAACGGCCCCAGTCCCCTTCCTACTGCCCAGCTCCAGTCCTTCCATCACACTTGTTCACCGCCCACCACCTCCCATTCCAACTTCCATTTCCACACTGAATGTTTCTGGCATGTCCTGAGGACCACTAACCCACCAGCAGTTCTCCCCTGTCAAACATTCATTTAGGCCCACGCCCTTCAGAGGCATGAAGGATTAATGTGACACCATGTCAGCTTTGGTGAGTGGAGCCCCAGCCCGGAGCCCCTTACCCTTGCAATCTGGGATAAGGAGGGAGAGTCTGGGGGAGTCACCATGGACAACTTCTACAACCTCTTGTCCCTTAGCTACAGACACCCAGATTAGGGAGCAGGGATACATGCCTTCTCCGCCTTAACACCAAGATGAAGGAGAGGGATCATTTAGGGGTCTGGGTCCCTAAGAGATATTAGGACATCTCTCCCAGGAGCTGAGGGAAATCACAGGTTAGAGGTCAAGGTTAGGGTAGCAATCAAAGATCAAGGTCATCTCCCCACATGATCTGCCCAGCTTCCTGTGCTCACTTGGGCCCAGTGCCCTATGCACCTCCCAGGTTAGTACTGGGGGAGGTCAGGGCTGGGTCCCACACCAGGGCAACAAGGGTCATTCAACAGGAGACCTCCATGGTGTGCCCCGGGGGCCCTGAAGAGAGAGTCCCAGACTCGCTGCTCTGGGACAGGGTACGGGAGCGGGAGCGGTTGCCATCAATGGATGCCGCGCTGGTCAGCGAGGCCGTGCGAGACCGGGACAGGCGGGTCATACAGGATGAGGCCACTGTGGAGACGGAAGGAAGAGCCGGCAGTCAGAGAGGAGGTGGGAAGAGAAGCAGGCAACTCAAGAGTGGGGTGCTTGGGTGGAGACGAGAGTTACACATGGGGCTTGATTTGACAGACGGCAGTAAATCCAGGAATTAGCCTGAAGAGGTTCCTGCCCCTCGTGGCCCTCCCTCCTCCTATGCGACAACCTCTTGTCCTCATGACAGCCTCTGACCCCTATACTCACTATAGCCCATGCCCTGCAGGAAGTACTTGAAGGCCTCGGTCAGCTTGCCTGGCTGTAAAAGTAAAATGAGGAAAGGGAGACAGCAGAGTGAGGTTAGAACCTGAGCTGGAGCCCACAGCCATGGCAGGTTTGAGACGGGGTGTGTAGCGCAGGGTACAGTTCAGGGCCACTAATGTCCCACCCAACGAATGGCAGGGGTGCTCACCTGAGTCAGCTGGGGCTGTCCCCCAGAGTCAGCCATCTGTTCAGGAGAGAGTCATCCAGAAAAAGTGACATATACATAAACAAATGAGCCATGCCGAGAGCTATCAGAGGGCTCTCTTCCCTAGGCTTTCCACTCCAGGCCATTGGGGTGTTTTTTGTTTCTTTTCCTCCACCCGCCCACTTGCTCCCATGTAGGACCCTGGAAGCCAGCCTAGCAGCTGAATCTGGAGAAGATCTATGGCTCTGGACCGGGGGCCAAGAGTCAGGCTAGACGTGGAATAGGGTTACTGACCTTGAGGAAGGAAGTCTGGGTGGGGTCCAGTTTTGAGTTACATTCCACCTGGAGTAGGGAGGAGGTTGAATGAATGAAGTCACACTCCCAGTGGCCCCTCCCAACCAAAGGACCCTGGGGCCCAGACCCAGTTCTTTTTATTTTTTTATTTTGCCCATACCCACAACATATGGAATCTTAGCTCCCCGACCAGGGATCAAACCCATGCCCCCAACATTGGGAGCTTGCAGTCTTAACCACTGGACCACCAAAAGAGTCCTCCAAGTTCTTTTCTTCTCAGGCCTCTGCCCATTTCCTTCTTGTCAGGAATCAACCTCTTACGCCCCAAAGTTACTCTCCCCGCCCCCAAACAGAGCTTGCCTCTTGGTAAGATAGCCCTCTGACTGCCACCCTCTTTCACCCACCCCAGGACTCCCTACTGACCACTGCATCTTCATGGGGTGCTTGGTCTCCTACCACCAGCATCACAGGGCACCTAGAGGCATAGTGTTGGGGAGCAGGTGGTGAGCCCCCAGCACTCCCTCCTCCGCCTCCTCCCAGAAGAGCAGTTGGCTCCAAAGAGAAAACAACCTTCTGAACCCCGCTGACCCCACCAACAGAGTTCAAAGGGGTAAGACCTAGAGGGTGGTGGTTTGCTAAACAGGATAGGGGAGGAGGTGACAAGAAAATTCTCTGGCAAAAGACTCTCCTGCTAAAGGATGTAAGCATCTACTAGGGGAAGATCTAGGGAGAGAGGCAAAGTTTTATCCCTTAAAGTCTTACTTGAGGGTGTTATCGCCTCCACGCACAAAGTTCAGGTCTCGGCGACTAAAGAGGGTTTAAAAGAAGAGTGGAAATTTTAGGCAAGCAGTGCTACCCACCCAGATGTAAGCCAGCTTCCCCATGAGGAAGCAATCTTCCTCCCCTAAACTAAAGTTGAATATTGGTGATTACAAGTGAGAACCGAAAGAGAAGGTGGCAGACAGGCCTCAAGCGTGAGCCCTATGGCCCCTTGTGCCCAAGGTCCCTGGTCAGAGGGCAGTGAAGGGGATGAAGGGCACGAGGACAGGAGATCATCTTACTTCAGGGAATCCAAAAGTCCAAGGAAGTAACAAGAGAGAGGGGGCAGGCTTCTCACAATTCTCCCCCCACCCCACCCCCACCTGTCCTGCAGCTACCACTACTGCCCAACAATCCCTGCCCACCTCGCCCAGCCTGCTTCCCCTCCCCTTGGCCCCTCTGTGCCTCCCATGACCCCCATGACCGCTTCTACATTTCTCTTCCATGCCCACTCACTTGTTGTAGCTGTTCCAGTACAGTTCAATGTTATCCAGATTGGGGGCATGTGCAATGATATTTCTATACTTTTGTATCAACTCAGAATTTCCGGACAGCTCTTCCTGAAGGAAAATAGAGGGAGAATAAATAGGGCTGGGAAGAGAACTCAAAAACAATTACTAGATGCAAAGAGGCAAGCGTTCTTCCCTCCCCAAATCAGTCCGAAGTAAGGAAATCACCCCACACATTCCAGTCCCTGCTGGTTCCCTCTACTTCTTCCATTTTCCACAACCACTTACCTGGCTGAAAAGATGTCCAAGGATCATCTCCGAAATGGAAGAGGTGAGGCCTGTTAGCTATGAGGACAGGGCAGGTGAGAAAGCTCAGGACACTATGAGGAGTAGAGACCCGAGTTTCTTTCCTGATCCTTCCCCGCTCCCTGAAGCTCACAGGCCAGCCAGTTCTGTTGTTAGAGGCTAAATGGACCCACGCAAGGGGAAGCCCCCCAAAATCTCAGTGCACAGACCCCTCCAAACCTTGTGGGCTGCCCAGTCCATCCAGCCTTTGGCGTTGGGATCAATGTTGATGAGGACAAGGCCCTCGACGGTATCAGGGTGGGTAAGCTGAGGGGCAGCAGAGGGAAGTCAGAGGCAGGCATGGACTTATCCCCTCCCCACTGAGCTCTGCCCACCCCAGGCTCCAGGGGGGCCTGCGTCCCACCCTCGTACTCACAGCCTCCCCTCAAGCACACACTAGTAAACACTGCCTGTTCCTTGGACCCGCATTTTGCTTATCTGGGATTTTTAAAATTTCTTACAGCATATCGCGACAGGACGTAGGCCCCAGCTCCAACACCAATTCCAATTATTGCGGAGAAACTGTGAAAGGTAAATGTAGGTCTAATGGGTCCTGATATCCAAAACTTTGATTCTCCAAACTCCTCACCCTCCTTCCTAAGGCCATGGGCACAAAGGACAGAAAAGGACCTTCCTTTGGGGGGATGCTGAAAAAGAAGGTGCCAAGGAGCTAAGAAATGGACACTGTAGTCTTTTCCCAGCTCCCTCCAGGAGAGTGAGTGTCTTAAAAAGAAACACCCACACGCCAACCAACCAGACAGTTTCCTATGTAGCTCTTCGTCCATTCTCAACTTTCAGGAGCTAGTTCAACTAGTTCTGTTTTAGTTCCTGGTTCCTCTAGAGGAACTGGAAAGGAGAGAACTTAAAGCAAGATATTAAAAAAAGATACAACTTTGGTGAACAACAGGAAGTATCAGGAGAAAGAGCCAAAGAGGTGAACCACAGCCGCCCAGGGCCCTGAAGCCCAGGAAAAGCCAAGTCAAGGACAGAGCCCAGGTGTCATCAGCATTAACTGTGCATGGAAGAGGCCACGCCCGGCTTTCTTTCCTCCTCTCACCCCCTCTGCCTCCATCTGGAGGAGGCGCAGGGAGTGGGAGGGGAAGACAGGCCAGTCGGGTTCCTCAGGGGCTGTGTTGCCCCCTCCCCTTCTCTAGCTTCCAGATCAGACCTTCCTCAGCCTGAGGCAGGGCCAGGCACACAGCTCCCTCTTCTCCTCTATCGCTTAGGGCTGCTCTGCTGACTCAAGTCAGCTTTCCAAAGCCACCCACTTCCTCTCAACTGGTATAGACAACATCTAGTCCAGACAGAACTCGCTCAGGAGTTCTAAGGGCCACCCTGTGCTGAAAGGAGAACTCTGGCTCGGAGGGGTCCCCAGGCCTCTCACTTTAAGTACTGCAGGATGCAAGGGATCATGTCCGCAAGCTGGTCCAGAGATGGGTACTGATACCTGGGGAAGAGAAGAATGTTAAGGAAAACACCAACCTGTCCCCAGGGCCCCCAGCTCCGTGTCCTACTCATTCTCTCCCGGGGTGACCATCGCCCTCCCCTTCCTCCTCCCGGATCCAATCTACTCCATACCTGCCATGTGCCTCACAGCCTGACGAGGAGGGAAGGAGCTAATTCTCACCCCAAAGGGAACACGGGAGCCCCCTCTTCCATGCCAGGGGCATCCACATGAACCCGCACGAAGTTCTGAATGATTTCCTGCATATCCGCAAATTGAAACAGCGGCTGGAAGCAGGATTTATCTAAAGAGAATCCCCATCACCCCAACAGTAGAGTCAGACGGGGAAATGTCCCCAGGTCAGAATCCACCCTCTTTCTTTCATGCCACATTCAGACTAGGAGAGGACTTCCCCTGACATACCACATGGCTCCCTTCCCATACTGACCCTTCCCCTCACACTGGAGTTTTACCCTCCCCCTGCCCCACCAGCCTCTTCCCAGAAAGAAATGGGAGAGGAAGTGAAGGTTCTTACAGTTGAGTCCCACATCATGGTAGGTGAGTATCGCTGGCCGTTTGGGTTTGGGGGTGCCATAGACAGTAAAAGTGACAGAGCCATAAGGTGTCTCCACAGAGTGAGTCTGCAGAAAAACGGGTCACCATCAGGCAGGAGTTAGGCTGAGAGGAAAAGAGGCAGGAGAGGAACCTCCATAAAAGTCGGGGAGTTGAAAGGGCAGGGGCAAAGACAGGAAACTGGAACCAAAAAGTAGAAGTAGGATCAGCAAGAATTGAGGTAAAAATGACACTGGAAGATGATTTAGGGGCTGGCAAAGAATAATGAAAGATCGAAGAGCATCAGGGAACGCTGAGAAAAGAGGGAGGAGAAGGGAGGGGAGCAGGGAGATGGGGACAGGAAAGGACTGGAATAGAAGGAGAAGCAGCAGAGAGAAGAAAACTAGGTAAGGGCCCCTCCTTCCTGGGGAGAGAAGAGCCCCTCCTCCCACCTGGGGCTGCCCCAAGCTGTTACCTGTCCCTGGTCCAGGAGGATTCGGGCAGCTAACTCAGCCTCCTGGAGAGATATACAGACAGATACACACAGAAACACGCAGCCACGGAGAGTCACAGAGAGAGACAGACACAAATAAAAAAAGGTAGGTAAAGAGACCAACGGAGACCAAAGACAGAAAGAGATTGACGAAAAAGAGACATGGAGAGGATGAAGGTTAGCCTAGTGACAGGAAAAAGCCTGGACTCTCAGTCGTGGTGTTCAGGGAGAGATACATGGGGAGAAGTGGAGAGCATAGGGGAGGTGTGAGTGAGAATGAGATAGTCTGGGGAGGGAAGAAGCAAGGGCTCTGCTTGGGGGTCTGGGGTTCGGGCCTGGGAGTCAGGGGTCTCTGATAACCTTGGCCACCTCGGGTGCCTGCCCTGGCAACAGCGGCTTCTCCTCCGTGATCTGCACTTCCCGCAGCTCTGCCATGGTGACCTGGTGGGGTGAGGAAACACAGAGACTGGGGCGGCTGCCTCCACACCGCATGCCTCCCCCAACCCCCAGCTTCCTCTCTCAACACTGGACAGTGCTGGGTGCAGAGGGCCCCAGGAGCTGAAGACTAATCCAGGACACAGAGAGAGGCTGTCCAGCAGCCCCCAGCTGCAGGGCCAGGCCGCTTGGAGAAGAGAACTCAGGATACCACTTCCTTTCAGCCCGGCCATCCCAACACCCCTCAACACCGACACCTCCGTACCCCCTCCCCTATCCTGGATGGAAATACCAGGGTGGGGCAGCAGGGCAGCTCAGGTTTCCCAGGCTATATTTAGGGGCCACCCCACACTCCTAGTTAGGTAGGGGGTGAAACTCGTGGCTCAGTGACTGGGTGCTCTAAAGATACCAAGGGATGGGTATCGAGAGTTCACCACTGGCTGTGACCTTCGACTAAAGCGCCAAGGTCAGCAGCGCAAAGAGAAAGGGGCTAAAAATGACCTGAGTAACATGACCAAGGGGGGGAGGGGGAAACCAGAAAAGAAGGACAAGGGACATCTGGGTCCAACAGACCCAATGCCTCCCTTCCTCCCAAGACTCCTGACTTCAATAAAGTAGCATGTATTCAACCTTTGGGGCCGGTGAGGAGCAGAGCACCTGTGCAGACCAGTGGAGTAAAGGGCCAGCAGCCTGGAGGTGGGGTCACTTACTTGGCTCCTATTGGCTGGATGAAGTAGGGTTAGGGGTCAGGGTTCTCACTCCTCCTGGCTCTGGGGTCTGAGAAAACAAGGCAATGAGGTGAATGACATGAGAGACAGATCCTGGGTCTTTTAGAGACAGAAAATCTAAGCCAAGACCTGGGCTATCTGGGTCACCAACCCCTGCCAGGTCACTAACCCTCCCAATCTACCCAGGAGTCCAGTGAACAAGTCTTCTCCAGGCTTTAGCTAGAATCAATACAGGCTGGAAGGGTCTGCCTGGCAACACAGCAGGTATCAGTCCAGGCTTGGGAAAGGGGGGCGGGGGGCCGGGGGCGGGGCGGGGAGAGGAGAGAAGGAAGTGCTGATGTGGAGAAAAGAGCGTGTCTTGTGTCAGAACCTCTGGATTCTACCCCAGGCTTTGCTGCTCCCACCGTGACCTTGGCTCCGTCTGTCACTACTCTTGCGCTCAATTTCTTATTTGCAAATTAAAGTGGGGACTAAGGGATCCCCAAGATTTTTGACAGCTCTCAAGTGAGATGGGGTGGCAGAGCACGACTGTTTCTTTCCACCATTAAAAAAAAAATTTTTTTTTTTAAAGCCTCGTGCCTTCGCTTCTCTCCTCCCAGTCTCGGTGTGGGTCCCGAAAGTGCAGAAAGAGGGTGTGTGAGGCGGTTCCAGAGTCTCTCCCCAGCGTGCCACGAAGACCCGCAAGGGCCGAGAGCCAGCTGGGAAGGGATGGGGAGGGCAGATGGGACTGACTGGGCCCAGCCCCCGGAACCTGTCCCTCCGAGTCCCCTCGCTGCTGTCCGCGTGGGGCCTGACAATTCGCGCGGCTGGCGCGGAGAGCCCTGACCCCGGACACAACTTCGTGCACGCCCCAAACACGCCCTGCAGCCCGCGGAGCCTCCGCCTCTGTGCGACGCGGCCTCGCGGCCCTGAGGGCCGGCTCCTGCCCGCGAGCCGTACACTCCGAGAGGTTGGGATCCGACCCCCTCCCGGCACCCCCCGGCGCCAGCCTAGCCCCGCGGCCCCACTCCCGCCCTTCCCCCTACCTGCTGCCGCCGCGGCCGCTTCCACCTTCACTTGCCTTTGACTCCGTGGCCCGCCCCTGCTCGGGCTCCCCGCAGACCCGCCCCCGGCCCGCCCCAGCCCGCCCACGGGCCGCCAGCTCCCCGCAGATCCGCCCCAGACCCCTGGTAAACACGCCCCCCTTCACCCCGCCCCGGGCCGCCCGCAGCTCCGGGAGGGGCAGCGCTGGGGGCCCGAGGGGAACTCTAAAGAAAGCCAACAGCTGGGTGCTTCCAGGCTCCGGCCCCCGCTCCCCACAACATTCACCCCCCCACCCCCGCAACCGGGCGGCTGTGGGCGTGGGGGATCCCTTAGTCCCGCGGGGGATCCCCACGCTGGCTCTCAGCACCGCCCCCACCCGTGATCTGTCCCTGCCTGTAGCACTCAGGCTCCTTCCTGCGCCCCGACTCCGAGGTGGGAACCGGTAAAAGGGAGACGAAGCCAGGGTGCTGGCACCCCACGATTTTGACTCCACCCGCCCGGAAACAGGGCTAGGCTACAGAAGGATAGCTGCTGAGGAGGCGAGGGTCTCGACCGCGGAGAGGGGAAGGTGTGCCTGCATCGACTAGGGGGTGGGGGCGTCGAGGGCGCGGGAGCTCCAGTTTCGGGGCGCCCAGGGTCCTGGTACCTCCTCTCTCTCCAGGGTTCCGGCGACTGCTCTCTGGGCTGCTCCCTGAGAAGTTGGAAAACAAGGCGGGAGGGGGGGCGGGGAATGCGGGGGGCCGCTATAAATAGAGGGAGATCGCGGGAGGGGGGAGAGGATGGCCAACGGAGACTCCCGGGTCAAGGCCCCAAGGAGGGGCGGAGGAGGGGCCAGGACCCCCAGGGGTGCTGACTCTTGGGTAAACAGGCACAGGGGTGGAGTTAACTCTGTGGAAGTGGGGTGGGGGTTTAGGGAGGACGCAGTGTCCCGGGCTGGGACCCAAGAGACCCTGTGGCTTCAGTGCTAACCCCTTCTAGTCTGGCCCAGAGAAGGAGGGAGAGGCTGGCTCGGCCCAGCCCAGGCGATGGTTTCTCAGGGACTGCCGCCTTCTCTCAGGGCCTGGGTGGGTGTGATGGCCTGGATCCCTCAATCACCCTGCTCTGTCTCCACCTATATGCACCCTCCCTGTGCCCCTCAGGGAAAAGTCACCCAGAATGGGATAGTTATGAGGCTAAAGGGATTCAAAGTTGTCTTACACAAAAGGAAACACAGACTGGATTTCTCCCCACCTGCACCCTTTCCAGGTTCCCTTCCCCCAGAGGTCCCCACCCCATCCTCCTTCAGCCTGGTTCCTGAGTTGCCATTTCGGGGGCTGGGCACCAGGCCAGTTGGGAACAATGGCCAATGGAACTGGAGCTGCCAACTGCAACACCAGCTCAGACTGCCCCCCCAAGACCCCTAAATTGCCTTCCCCCTCCTGCCTGGGAACCACCCCCCACAACCACCCTCACCACCCCCTCCCATCCAAGGAACATCAATGCCCCTTTCATCCCCACTTGGCAGGACCTATTGGAAAGGAGGGGCCAGGAGGGAGGAGGTGACCCAGAGTAGATCCCGACTAATCAAATCTAGCTTTTAACAACCCCAAACCTAAAGGATTCCCTCTAGATCCCCCAATTTGGGGCACCCAAGTTTTCCTCCACTCCCTTCCCCGCTCCCTTGATAACCATTTACCCAGAAACTGACACAGAAGCTGGGCACCCTGGCTCCTTGCCTAGTCCCCTCTCCCCTCTGAATGCCAGTTTAACACTCTCCTGGACAAGGAAAAGCCTGCTGGAACTGGGACCATAAATAAAAATGCATAGGACAGAAGAGAGCTCTCCCAGCCCAGCTGGAACTGGGAGAGAAAAGAGAGCCTGCAGTGAGAAACTCTGCCTGCTGCCTCCTCTGATGTATCTAAAGTAGGTCTTACTTGGAGTGGGGGAGGGAAGGACCTGGAGGTTCCAGCATCTAAATTCGTCTCTGGGTCAGGATGACTCAGGGGGAACCTGATAAGGGGCCTACGCAGGGGCGTAGGGCAGGCAGGAGTCGGGAAATTTCCACTGGGATGTTTGCTTCCTAGGCTAGGGGTCTCAGCCTGCCACAGGCAGTAAGAAGCTGCTTCTGCTCTAAGATGGGGTTCCTCCTTGTCAGGGCAGGTCTCAGCCTGGCCCAGTGTCAGTGGCCCAACAAGAACATTTTTCCTAACTTCCTTCTCTTGGACCAAGAAACAGCTTCAAACTATACCTTCCAGTTGGCAGCAATAAGGACCTGCTCTGTGCAAGCCACTGTATAGATGGAATTCAAAGAAGTGTGAGGCTAGTCATATCTCTCTAGAGCTTAGGATCCAGTAGTTGAGAGAAGATACAAAGATAGAAAAAGTTCAGAATGATGTAATATAAGATTAATTGTTTAGACAATAAGTCCTATAGGAAGAGTTTCCCATCCTTTTCAAGTGGGAGATTAGAGACTTCCATTCCCAAATGATGATTTTAGAATCTCCTGATGGAGCCCAACTGTGAATTCAGCAAATACTTTCGGGTAAGTTTGTTCAGTCTTCTGATAATTGCAACATCTATGCACATATGCACCTACATGTGCAAGGTTTATTATTTACTCAATGACCAGGCTTCTGTATATATACAGGTTCCACAGGCCCTCAATAACTCAGAAACCCTTGCCCAAAGAGGCTGCAGCCCACAGGCTAGGAACCATTATCTTAGTATAATTCAGAGAAGGAAAGGGTTTTGTTCTTAGGGTAAAGCATCCTATGAGAAGTACAGTACAGTACTTGCATGAGAAGCAGGGGCATTCTATCAAGGCAGAGAGACCATAAGGGAAAGTTAAGGGACAGAAATACACATGTTACTTTGATGAACTGCATAGTAGCTACTACAGGGAAGGTAATTCCCACATAGTATCCCCTAATACTATAAGATAAATATTATTGTCCTCACTGTACAGATGAAGAAATTAAAGCTCAGAGATGTTTAGTCTCTTGCTCAAGGCCACTCACTAGTAAATGATTTATCTAGGACTTAAATCCCTGGATTCAATCCTCTCCAAAGTTATTCTGTCTCTACTAGACTTCAGGTAGCCTCTGCAGCATAGAGTGATTAGGTCATTATGGCCACAAGTGCAGAGTAATACTGATGAAACGTGACATCTGATAAGGTGGACTGGAGCCAAGTGTGAAGGTCCTTGAATGACAGGTAAAAAAAGTTGACTCTTCAAAACGTTTTGAAGATCCAGAGTGTTCTTGATCAGGAAAAATAGATAAGTAATTTTTTTGTGAAAATAATCTGATTGGGAGCAGGGGGTTAAGAAGAGATGGATTGTGGAGTGGTTGAGGGTAAGGCATTTTGAATTAGGAAAGAGGTCATTTAGAAGCCAGAATAATCAACTAGATATGAGATGACAAAGACTTGAATAAAGAGTGGGAGTAATAGGAATGGAAAGGAAGGAATGGATTTATAAGACAAAGGAAATTACAGAAATTGGTGACTGATTAGATGGGATGGGGAGGGAAGTCACCAACCTAGTGGCAATATTTTAGGAGCCATGAAGTTCATTCCTCTAAATGGTTTCCAGCCGGAGAAAAGGCCAAAGAGAAACCCCTTCTGAAAGAAGAAAAACACATGTAGTAAAAACTGAATAAAATTACAGCATTACTTTAAAAAAGAGGGGAGGGCATTCCCTAGTGGTCTAGTTACTCAGAGCCTTCACTGCCAAGGGCCCAGGTTCAATCCCTGGTCAGTGAACTAAGATTCCACAAGCCATGTGGCATGGGGGAAAAAAAATATCCCTGACCTGCATAGAAAATTAAAATTATCTGGAAGATTTTGAGAGTCTGAGGCTCACCCTCACCCTAACCCAGCCAGGTATGTGACCCTCCAAGACCCATGCTCTTTCCATGTGGGGCCCAAACTGGAAGCCGTTTCAAGTTCCTATTGCACCTGGTCTGCCAAAGCCAGTGGGATTTTCCATGTGGGTCATTAACCTGGCCAGGAGACGAAAAAAGGACAGTGCTGGACTGATGTCAACCTGTTTCCCTTAACTCCTTCCCTGAGCTCTCCTCAACTGTTGTTGAGAGATAGAGCATAATGCAGTTTAACTAGGACCCAGAAGACTGGTTCAAACAGGGCTGAACCAATGAGGGAAGCTTGGTCACTTGCAGAGATCAGGAGGTTGGTAACATGCTCAATGCAGCATGCAAGGTAGGGACCTAAGACCCCTCCCCCAAGATCAGAGCTGTAACAGTGGCTGAAAATGATGTCACATAAACACTGCTGAGGTCACAGAAGCTTCCCTCTCCTCCCCTGTCTCCCTTCCCACTGCCCCCAGTCTCTCCAGCCAGCCAGCTCCCACGGATCTGCACACACTTACCTACAGAGGCTGGTTAGGGTCAGACACCATCCGGGCACTCTCAGGTACACAGAAGTGGTGGGGAAGTGGTTGGCAGTGGTGATTATTCAGTGTGTAGGATCCACACTAGTATCCCTCGTACTGGGAACAGTAGGTCGGACGGGTGTGTTTGTTCCTGTTGCTGATTCTGATTTTACTTTAACCTTCATCATTCTTACTCCTCAGTCCTCCCCTCCCCTCCTCCCTCACCCCCAAGTCTCCCCCCTTACTGTCCTCCCCCACCTCCAGTTGACCATGGCATCAGAAGCAGAAAGAACATTCCAGCGGTTTGCTGTCTTTGGAGAATCATCAAGCAGTGGCACTGAAATGAACAACAAGAACTTCTCCAAGCTGTGCAAAGACTGTGGCATCATGGATGGCAAGATGGTCACCTCCACTGATGTGGACATCGTTTTCAGCAAAGTCAAGTAAGGGACCAAAGACAGGAGTGGGGTGGTGAATAGAACAAGTAACGTCATGGGATGTGGCAGGGTTTCTGCGGTAGAACATTTGTAACGGGTCTCCTGAGCACCTACTGGGTGTCTGGCACTGCTAGCCCCTGACCTCAAGACCTTCCGCGTGCAGAGGCCCCGTCTGAGTAACGGGAGGGCTAGACCTTGGAAAGCGATGAGTTCATGTTCCCCAGTTCCTGGATTTCTGTCTTACTGACCAGGGCCAAGAATGCCCGAACCATCACATTCCAACAGTTCCAGGAAGCGATGAAGGAACTGGGCCAGAAGCGATTCAAGGGCAAAAGCCTGGATGAAGCCCTGGAGAACATTTATAAGCTCATGGAGGGCAAGGACCCAGCTACCACTGGTGTTACTGTGAGTGACAGACTTCATTCCAAACCCTGACTCTGCCTCCCTGAGTCCCTGCTGCTCCCACCTCCCCTCCTCTACATCGGTGTCCCCAACCCTTGTCAACAGCAGCACGGAGATGGGGCAGAAGGCCTCTGGGCACTGTTGGTACTGAAACAGACTAATTTAGAGATCTTCGAGTCATTTCAGAAGTGAGGAAACTGTGAGAAGAAGTGACTTACCCAAGGTCCACAGCAATTTTAGTTATTTACTTATTTTTCTTTTCACACCCATTTTAATAGTAAAACTTAGACTCATTCCCAAGCATCCAGGGTCTGGGCCAGGCCACCAGGCCCAGGTGGCTTTGGGGGGACACTGAGCGCAGAGCATCTGGTACCTGCTCCCTACTCCTCTTCACGCTCTTATGTAAGGTCTAATATCCGACATCTTGCCTAGCACCCACCTTTCTGTTCCCTATTTATCCCCTCTCTACTAAAAGGTCTCTCTACTGTGGGTTTCAAATAGGGCCTTCCCAGCAAGGCAGGGGGGATTCCCTGATGGCTCAGACGGTAAAGAATCTGCTTGCAATGCTGGAGACCTGAGTTCAATCCCTGGGTTGGAAAGATCCCATAGAGGAGGGCATGGCAACCCACTCCAGTATGCTTGCCTGGAGAATCCCCATGGACAGAGGAGGCTGGGGGGCCACAGTCCATGGGGTCGCAAAGAGTTGGGCATGACTAAGCGACGTAAGCCCAGCACAGCAGGACAGATCTTGTGTTTTAGGTCTGGGGTTGAAGTCCTCTAGCTGTAGCCTAGTCAAAATAGCTTCTCTGGAAGCAGAAAAGTCCACACACACCTCCCTACTCATTCCCATGCCCTGGATTCCTTTCTCACAAGTGGATGGCTCTTATCATAGTTCCCCCTCTCATCTACGCCTGAGCCCTAAGCAGGCAGTACCATGCCAGGGGTTGAACATGAGCTCGGAGAGCTAATAGAACTACTCGAAGGCCATCTCTAGAGAAGGGCTGTGAGAGTAGAGGGGAAGGAAGGGAGAAGGCTCAGGCTCCTCACCCTCTGGCCCACAGAAAGCGACCACGGTGGGCGGGGTGAGCCGGCTGACGGACACCAGCAAGTACACTGGCACCCACAAGGAGCGATTTGACGAGAGTGGCAAGGGGAAAGGCATCGCGGGACGGGAAGACGTGACTGACAACTCAGGCTACGTGAGTGGCTACAAGGGTGCTGGAACATATGATAAGAAGGGCAGCAACTAGGGAGTAGCCGGAGTAGCCTCATCTTTGCCTGTTGGCCCTTGACCCTGCATCTTGAATACTAGGGAGCTTGCGGGGGGGGGGGGGCAATAAACATCTGTGTGTGCAGCAGTTCATGAGCTCTGTCTTCCACCCGCGGAAGGACGAGGGACCCTCGGTGCAGAGACAGAGAGAAGAGCCGAGAAACCCAAGGGTAGGACTTCCCAGAAGCACTCCCTTCATTCTACTTGGCCTCCTCATCACTGGGTAGCATCCCCCTCAACAGCTGCTTCTAAGCACATGGCTGAGGAATATATTTGGAGATAAGAGATATAAACTAGCTGTGGAGGCAAAAGTATTTGCTAGCTGTGCTCACACATTACCAGTATCCATCCCCGCCACCATCCCAAAGGGGAGTAGCAATTCCCGATTTGACATAGTACAGCCCGAATACTAGCAATGGGACGGTTCCCTGTCCTTCCACCTTCCTCATCTGTTGCAGTCCATGTTTTGTTGGGGGAGAAATGGACACCAGAGAGGGTAGGCCAAGGATCTACTTAGCCTAACTCCTGTTATGAGCTTATTCTAGACCTAAGGGTTTCCCCGGTGACTCGAGAATGTGCCTGCAATGCAGGAGATGTGCAGGAGGCATGGGTTCTATCCTTGGTCAGGAAGATCCCCTGGAGTAGGAAATGACAACCCACTCCAATATACTTGCCTGGAAAATTCCATAAACAGAGGAGCCTGGTGGGCTACAGTCCGTGGGGTCGCAAGAGTCGGATATGACTGAGCACACAACACAACAACAAGGATAAGGAGACTCCATTTTCAACCCAGTCCAGAGCTGAGTTTTACCCCATCCACCTCCATCATGGTAGACATGGAACAGAAGATCCTACTGACCCTGCTGCCAAAGGGTAGCCAAGGAAGATGGCCAGAGGTAGGTGACCTCCAGGACTCTGAGAGTAGGAGTTCTGATGCATTGCAGAAAGAGTAATGAAATCAGAACTAATTCAGATGGGCTTTTTAGCTTTTTATTTTGCAGTGATTAGATTCACAGGCAGATGCAAAATAAATACAGAGAGATCCCATGTACCCTTCTCCCAGTTTCATCCAATGGTTATATCTTACATAATTCAAATATGGTTTTAAAACCTTCTGTGACCACAGCTGAGCCCACTTCATCCCTGCCTTGTCAGAGGCAGATCCTGGATTTGGGGGGATATCAGAAGGAGCTTCGGGAAGGAAAAGGATGCAGGAATCTCTGGAAGAGCAGGTCAGAGAAGATAACTTAAAACTGCAGGGGGGTCCAAGGTGAGAAGGATGGAAGGAAAAGAGGTCAGAGAAAGAATACAGGATGACTAAAGAGGTTGGAAGTGTGGGGGAGAGACTGAACGGGAGACTGAGAGCTGAGGGGGATGTCCTGGAGGAATGAAGCTAATATGAGTCTAAGACTCTCAGGGAGGGTCTTACAGCTAGAGATACCCACAGTATGGGTGAGCAAGTGGAGGGAATCATAAGGGAGATGGGGAGGACCCAGAAGGGAAAGGTGGCAGGGGAGAGGATTTGAGACTCGGAACCGGTGCCATGGTGTGAGCTGAGGCTCTGGGACTCCGGCCAGGATTCAGGATCTGGCCCAGTAGATGGACAGTCGCTGCCAACTGGACACAGTCAGCTTCTTGGGTGGGTAAAACAGTCTGTGGGAGAGGGAGAATGGTGGCGGGGGTGGTGGGGGGAGGGAAACAAGACCGAAAAGGCCTAGAAGACAGTACAACTTTGCATGGTGACCAAAAGTCTGGACATACTTCCTGCCTCCCCGGTCTCTTGGGAGGAGACTCTGCCTGCCTGTGAAGCCAGAAAGGAAGCCTTGTACCAGGAATCTGAGCTTTGGGAGTGGGGACAGGCTAGTGTGTAGCAGCGGCCGTGGGTGGGGGAGCTGGGGGGGTGGTTTCAGACCGAAGGCCTCTCTTCCTAGTAGAGGCCAATGATATCTATGGGTGCACCATCGTACTTTTCAGAGCAGAGCAGATAGAGCCTTTGGTTGGTCAGGGTGCTATTGTAGCGGCAGCTGGTGGGTGGCTGTTTTTTGAACAGGGAGCAAATTGTGAGCGGGATGGAGTCCTGGGTGAGCGTGCAGTATTCATTGTAATTCTCACAGAAGCTCTCACTGTACTTGCAGAAATTCCAGATGACTGTCCAAGGGGCATGTAAGACATAATGGATCTTTGGGCAATACCAGGTTTCTTGCCTGCCCCGGACATAGGACATCAGACCATTGCAGTAACCTTGGAAACCTTTGGCGTAGTCAACCTTGGGATAGTCAACGTGTAAGGTACGGAAGTTCTTGATGGCAAACTGAGTCCTGATGTTTTCAACCAAAGCTGGCCCTAGAACAACCTGGAGGAAGAGGAGCTGGGCCACAGGTGGTGCCATTCTTCCTGCTGGCAGAGTTAAGGTGGTTGGAGACAGAGGTGGGTCTGGGTGGCTGGCTGTCCCTGCCCAGAGCCTCCAGTGTGCCCCCAGCCTCCCCAGTGTGGCCTCCCCTATGCCTTCAAGGCCCAACTGTCCCTCGGAGATCATCCAGCCCAAGTCGTCATGCATCAGAGGAGACATTTGCCCAAGGTCACCCCACTGGTCGGCCACCTCTAGCCATTCCCCCTGTCCCTGGGTCTACCTTAGAATCTCACCTTCACCCCATCCACCCGGGAGCTATGACACTTACGAAATAAGAGGTCCAACTGGTCCTCGGGATAAGAGGCTCTTCGTGGTTACCCTGGCCCGGTTAGTCCTTCTGGTAAAAATGCAGAGGGTCCAGAAGTGACAGGCTCAGCAGCACTTCCCTGACTGCAGCTGAGGAGGGACAGGAGCTGGAAGGCAGCAGGACAGAGGCGGAGTCTTCCTGCCTGAGGCCAGGGACAGCCAACAGGTGAGAGAAGACGCTAGAAAGGTTGGTGGATAAAGGCTGGTGTGGGAGGAGGGCATGTCCCCTGGGTTTGAGGAGCCCCTGGCCTGAGGGGGCTGGATGAGGAGGAGGAAAGAGCCATTTACCTTCTGCTCTCCTCCTCTCTGGTGTCATCAGAACACTAAGTTCTGGCCTCCTTGCCAGAAGTCCTGTGGTTCTTAGGCTTCCTTTGATGTCTTCTCTGGTTCACAGGCCCTGCTCCTGTGGAAAGGTGATAAGGAAAGCACCATCGTGTTTCTGAGAAACAAGATGCTGCTTATTCCTGACCCTCAGAGAACAGGGGGTCTCCCACTCTCTCATCCCACTCCTGGGGGCCCCGGGGCCACATATACAAGGGAGCCTCCCTGCCGCCTGAATGCTGGGCAAAGAATCAAAGACCGTTCTGTGGACCCCTCACCGTCTCCATCATCAACTGCACTCCAGTGGTGATCACACTGACCCTATAACCTCAGGCCCTTTAGCGTTAGAGCACTCCTGGAAACCTATGAGTGCTGACCCCGAAGGCTCAAAGTTGTCAGGTGGGAGTAGACAGCATAGCCTGGGCTTGAGGTGGTGTGGGCCAGTACCCAATAAATCAGATTCTTTCTGTTAAAAAAAAGGTGGGGGGGTGGGGGGCAGGCTTTTAAATCTTTTTCATCAGCCTCTGCCCCTTCACAGTCCTTGATTTCCACAGGCCTTGCAGCCTTGCCTCCAGCACCTGTTGTCTGGTTGTGTCTTAGGACAGCTTACCATTTTCTCCCTGGAGAGCAGGAAAGGGGAGTCAGAACAGATCCCTGAGTGTTCCAAGGCCGGTGTGTGATTCAGAAAGGGTAGGGGGCATGGGGAGATGCATGGGTATTCCTCATTCACAGCCCCCTTAACCTTGCTGGGTTTTTTTCATTTTTTAAAGAAGTTTTCTTTTAATTATTTATTTATGGCTGTACTGGGTGTTCATTGCTGTGCACAGGCTTTCTCTACTTGCAAAGAGCAGGGGCTACTCTCTGGTCATGACGCACAGGCTTCTCTTTGCAGTGGCTTCTCTTGTTGCAGAGCATGGGCGTGCAGGCTTCAGTTGTTGTGGCTCATGGGCGCAGGCTCAGTAATTGTGGCACAAGGACTTAGTTGTCCCAAGCCATGTGGAATATTCTTGGACCAGGGACTGAACCGGTGGTTCCTGCATTGGCAGGAGGATTCTTATTCACCGCACCACCAGGAAAGTCCAAACTTGCTCTTTCTGACAACACAAGGTAGACTCAAAACCAAACCCATCCTCCTCCAACTTGCTTTCGCTCCTGCCTTGTCCATTTCCTCAGTTACCTCTGCGAGAAATCTGAGAGTGATCCTCCACCTTACCCTCTCCCTAATCCCATCCGTTTGGAGGCAGTACTGCAAGATGGTTAAGAGCAAAGCTTTTGAGCCAAACAGACCAGGAATTGAATCCTGGCTCTGATGCTTCCCAGCTGTGCACCATCGATCTTGGTTCACTAAACCTGTATAAGTTTCAGTTTCTTCATCTGTCAGTGAGGACAATATTCCATACCTCGAAGCAGTATTAGGATTCATTAAGATGTATATCAGGAGCTCTTAGCCCAGGGCCGGGCACTGGTATGAGCTCGAGTCCATCAGTCACGCAGCCCTGACAATCTCTTAACTAAAATTTTCCTTAAACCTGTCTCTTCCATTCCTATTCCTTCCCCTGCTCAGGATCTCCCTTCTCTCAGACACGACACACTCCCAACCACAAAAGGACTCTCCACCTCATGGGACAGAAGACCTCCATGACGTGGCCCCCCGCCCCATGTCTCCAACTGCGTCTCCATCCCTGCCCGCCTCCCCCACCTCTTACTCACCTCACCTCCTCTACCCAGAATGCCACTCTCTCCTCCCACCCTCACCCCCACGCTCAGTTCTTCTGAGCCAGTTCATGTGGAGATCAACCCAGAGATTGTGTTTAAGAAGCCTCTGTTTGGCGTATCTCCTTAGGGAAGTGTGCACAGCCAGGCAGGTGAGGGGAAGGCCCACACAGGCAGGTGGTTCATCTGCATCCTTCAGGCTGGTCTATCAGCCAGCACCCTGTGGGAGCCCAGGCGGGGTGGTGCCAGAGCCCGGCTGACTCAAGTCTTTGTTTTGAGGAAGCTACTAGCATTGTGTGGCCCCAGTCTCAGAGCATGCCACCTCTTCCCTATTTGCTCAAGGCTGCAGCTTCCTGTGAAAGAGAAAGGGGCTTTTTGTGCCTCTTGGTCTTCCACTTCCTTCATTTGCTACTCCCCCTTCATCACTGACCTCCACTTGCACAATTACAGAAATGGAACAACACATCATAAAAAGTTTAGGACATGAGCTCAGGTTAACCTACTGGGCTTCTGTTTCCTCTTCTAGAGGATGGGATTGATGCTGTCCTTTCCTCATGAGGCTGTGAGAATAAAATGAGACAGTCAGTATGGAAATGCCTTTTAGTCATTAAACAATATATAAATGGATAACTAGTTATGTTCCTATACCAACTTACTTTTTATTCCCAACTCACTCCACATTGGCAAGTCTTATATTCCCCAAATGAGCCAAGTGACCTCCCTACATCCCCACTGCCAGTCTAGAGCCCTCAGAGTATTGCCTGACTTAAATTCATCTTCACCAAGCTTTCTATTAATCACACCCCATGCTAATTGCTTGAAAATATTTTAAAATTGTTACATACTACCTGAAAAGCATTACAACAAACATTGGGGGAAATAGAAAAGTAAATGAGACAGTTCCAGTCCAGATTAAATTTACAATTCAGTAGGAACAACACAGGTATGCACATATGTGACAAAGTCATGATTGTGGGACCAGAAGAAGTGCTGAGTGTATGATTGGCCTTTGAGTTTCAATCTGCAGTCCTTGTGGTTCGGTCTTTAAAGTCCCATCCTGATCCATAGTATTGCTTCATCCATTCTGACATCCTTGTCGTGGTTTCATCTGCTTCTGAGGCCCGAGATTTGTGAAATTGTTACCCCATTATACTGGACTTTACTTATACAACAATCATCCTAGAGATGAAGAAACTAACTTTTAGAGAGGGCCAGCTGCATGCTTGAGGCCACGCGTCTAATTCAGTGGTTCTCCAGGAGGAGCAGTTAGATCATGTCTGGAGACTTTTTTGTTTGTCCCAACTAGGAGGCGCTACTGGCCTCTAGTGGGTGGAGGCCAGAGATGCTGCTCAGTGTCTTACATCACACAAGACAGTTCTCACAACAAAGAAGTACCCAAATGAAAATGTAGCTTGTGCTGAGGTTGAAAACTTCTGGTCTAATGACAGAATCAGATTCCCTAACAAGAGCAAACTTATTTATACCTTACATATTGAAAAGGATTGGTAAATATCTAAGACTTAGAGATTTTTTGTTCATTTGTTTGTTTGACTTCGCTTGTGATGGTGCTGATTCTTCTGCCAGCAAAAGGACTACTGACAGTTCATCACTGAAACAACCTTTTGCTATTTTTCCCCTGAAACTCTCTGCATATAGCCATGTACACATTCTCTCCCTCCTCCCCTCCCCAATGATAGGATTCTAGAACCACTGGCTAGACTGACAAATGCAAAAATGATTCCCTGTGATCGAAGGGGAGCCCTAAGTGAGCTCACTGCAATCTTGGTGGCTTTACCTTTGCCCTTTCTAACTCAAACGGTTCAAATAGCAAACTGTCCTGGGTTGTCCTTGAACTCAAAGGATTGTTTCAGCCATTTCAACCTCCTTGTCATAGTTTGACCTTCACCCCAGGGTTAGAGTTCAGCAGCTGCACTGTCAGTTCCTCAGCTGGGACTGGGATCATTCAGGTGATACCACCTGGGAATGGGATCACTCAAGGGCAGGAGGAATGCCTTCTAACCTCAAATTTGAATCATTTAGGGTCACTAACTGTGCTATATCCTGTGGGAGTAGTATAACAGATGGTCCTTGTCTTCTGGGAATTGACAGTCAAAACTGGAGGAAAACAAATATATATGAAGAAATAACCAACGATTCAAAGCAGAAAATTACACATTTTGAAGACAGTAAATGTAGGAATTTAAAGACGAGAGAGATCCCTCTAAATTAGGAAGGTCAGAGAAAGCTTTCTGGAGGGAAATTGAAACCTTCAGATGGGTCTCAAGGAACGGTTAAGTGGAGATAAAGAGGATTTTGAGCCTACTGTATAGCACATGGAACCCTGCTCAATGTTACGTATAAACCTGGATGCAAGGGGAGTTTGGGAGAGAATGGATAGAAGTATATGTATGTCTGAGTCCCTTTGCTGGTCACCTGAAAGCATCACAATGTTGTTCATCGGTTATATTCCAATACAAAATAAAATTTTAAAAATATAAATAGCATGTATAATATATATTTTAGAAAACTTATGAATTTTTGCCTAAAAAATTTATGACATTTTGATTCCACTTGTTTGACTTAGTATGAATAGAATACTCGATTTCTAGTTAAAAGAAATAGATATGCATCAAGCAACAACGTTTTACTGTATAGCGCAGAGAGCTATCGTTAGTATCTTATAATAACCTATAATGGAAAATAATCTGAAAATAATGTATGTGTATATGTATAACTGAATCCCCTTACTGTGTACCTGAAACATTGTAAGCCAACTGTACTTCAGTAAAATATACTGAAGGAGGAAAAAAAGCAAGATAGTTGCAGCCTCAAAGCTTGAAAAAAAAAAAAGAGGGAGTGGGGAGAATTATGAAAGGCATGTTTGAGGAAAGAAAAAAACCAGCCTGACTGAGACTGAGGCACTCAGTGGGAGAAAAGTCAGAGACAAAGTTAGAAAGGTAGGTTTGCCAGATTGTGGCAGACCTTGAGTATCAAGCTAAGGAATTTCTAACTTACTCCATAGACAAGTGAGGAACTGGCAGGGGCTTGCGGAACAGAGTGATCTGGTGAGGCCTCTCAAGCCCAGACCAGGTTCCCCACGCCTACATCCTGGCTGGTCTAAAGGCACTGGTCTAGGAGCCAAGGATTCCAACCTTCTGTCACTGCTGCCTCCTACAGATCCCAGCTGTTCCAGGAGAGGTCATGAGAATTCAAAGACCCAAAGCGAATCCCACATCTGACCCCAACTTGCTATTTGTTTCACTTTCCTCGTCTGCAAAAATGAGTCCATTACCTTTATTTATCCTAGGAGCAACACAGATGAACAGAACCTGGATCTGCTCCTGCTTGGAGGGAAAGGCTCATGGGCTTTCCATGGGTCTCCAGAGGCTGTGTAGAACTCCAGAAGAGAGAGAGAGTGGGCTCTGAAGGGTGGGCACCAATCCAGGTTTGGCCTCCTCTCTCCCAGCCCCCCTCAACCCCTCCCAACGAGGGCTAGAGGAAGTAGCAGCTGTTGTCCTGTGAAGAAGACAGGCAGAGGTCCACCTGGCACTGTTGGGATTTTCACAACACCCACCCCCAACAACTTTAAACACACACACACATACACCATACACCACACACACACAGAGCCGTGACCCGGGGAGAGGTTAGGCCAAGAGCAGAGACTATGGCACTAGAAGGAGAAGGAGGCTACCTTACATCCTTGCAAAGAGGCTTGCTTCCCTCTCATCTTCCCTCCCACCATTTTGTCTTCTTCTCTCCCCTCTTAAATTTTTCTTTTCTCCCTTCTGCCAGACTTCCCGACCAGTCCTTGGCCTGACGCCTGACTCCTTTTGTTCTCCCTAACCTTATTCCCCTTCCTCCATCCTTTCTCGCCCTGTGAATGCAGTGACGGAAACGTGGCAAAATTATCCTACTGAGTGCAAAGTGAAGCAGATCTTGGAAACTGTATAGTTTCAGTGAATAAATAAACGAAATCACCTGCCTTATCCAAATAATGGAGACAAAGTAAGGGTTTCAGCCTGAACTGTGTAAACAGTCGGTTTAACTGTCAGTTTTCAGTGCAAATCTAAACGTTGACTCCCTCTTCCCTTTGAACTGAGACAGCGTGGCTGTGTTTACTTTCACAGAGCACTAAGATAGACTTTTTTTAGAACCCCACACCATGAAGTCGAAGAGCAAACTGGATAATTATGTTAACAGGAAAACATAAGAGCGGAGGGCAGTGCAAGCTGTGGTGTGGAATCATCTCATTCTAGAATAAGAAGAAGTGAGGAGGAGTCTGGCAGGCAAGGAATCCAAATGAGCTCTTGGCCTTTCCACCCCCTCTCTAACCCCAGCCTCCAGTCCAGGGCAGGACTGGCCTGGGCTGATCTGCATTCTGTCCACATTCTGCTTTAACCCTTGGATTTTATCTGCAAACATTTGCTTTCCTACAGCAGCAGAGGCATAATTCTCTACCCAGAAGTTCAGACTACAAAGAATCAGGCACCTGAACAAAGCAGTGAAAGCTGTTACCACCGCCAAGGCCTCACCGGGGAGGAAGCGGGAATCAGAGGCCTGTGCTAACCTGCTCCTGGTTCTCTGTTGCCATCTAGTGGTGTTTCTCACTCCGACATCATTTTTTCTTCCAAAGATTCTCCATCCTGACCCACAGCTGTGCTCTCTAGCTACTAAAATGACGTCCCCAACCTCAAAACAAACACCCCACCTCCCTGACTCAAAATCCTAACTTCTGGACCAGAACACAAACTGTATGACTCAGGTTTCTATGACCTGGATGGTTCATGGGACTTCTCTGCAGTCACATCCACACAACAGCCAGGGAATCTTTAAACAGATAGATCTTCTATTCCTCTGCTTTTTTTTCTTTTTTTGCTATGCAGCTTGCAGGATCTGCTTCCTGACCAGTTCAATCTGAACTCAGGCCATGGCAATTAAAGTCTGGACTCCTAGTCACTAGGCCACCAGGGAACTGTCTCTATTCCTCTGCTTAGAACCCTCCTCGGCTCCCCGCTGTGTACACAGCAAAATGTGTGTGCATGCTCAGCTTCTCAGTCATGTTCGACTCTTTGCAACCCCATGGACTGTAATCTGCCAGGCTTTTCTGTTCATGGAAACTTCCAAGCAAGAATACTGGAGCAGGTCGCCATTTCCGGCGGATCTTCCCAGCACAGGAATCCAATCTATGCTTCCTGTGTCCCCTGCATTGGCAGACGACTCTACCACTGAGCCATCACAGTCCTTTCTTTTTTTCCCTTTTCCAGCCCTCCACCACAGTCCTTCCAATGGTCTCTGAGGCTTCCATGATCTGGCCTCTGGACCCCTCTGACCCTATCACTCACCCGCTCCAGCCACACTGGACTCTCTACTGTTCCTTCATCCCCCCCAGGCATCCATCTGCTTTAGGGCCTTTGCAGTGCTGTCCCCTCTGCTTTTTCATACTGGAGAGGGGACGGCATCACTATGAACAAGGCTAGTGGAGGTGATGGAATTCCAGTTGAGCTATTTCAAATCCTAAAAGATAATGCTGTTAAAGGGCTGCGCTCAATATGCCAGCAAATTTGGAAAACTCAGCAGTGGCCACAGGATTGGAAAATGTCAGTTTGCATTCCAATGCCAAAGAAAGGCAATCCCAAAGAATGCTCAAACTACCACACCTTTGTACTCATCTTACACGCTAGCAAAGTAATGCTCAGAATTCTCCAAGCCAGGCTTCAACAGTATGTGAACCATGAACTTCCAGGTGTTCAAGCTGGTTTTAAAAAAGGCAGAGGAACCAGAGATCAAATTGTCAACATCCGTTGGATCATAGAAAAAGCAAGAGAATTCCAGAAAAAACATTTACTTCTGCTTTATTGATTACGCCAAAGCCTTTGTGTGGATCACAACAAACTGTGGAAAATTCTTTAAGAGATGGGAATACCAGACCACCTGACCTGCCTCCTAAAAAATCTGTATGCAGGTCAAGAAGCAACAGTTAGAACTGGACATGGAATAACAGTTGGGAAAGGAGTACATCAAGGCTGTATATTGTCACCCTGCCTATTTAACTTATATGCAGAGCATATCATGCAAAATGCCAGGCTGGAGGAAGCACAAGCTGGAATCAAGATTGCTGGGAGAAATATCAATAACCTCAGATATGCAGATGACACCACCCTTATGGCAGAAAATGAAGAGGAACTAAAGAGCCTCTTAATGAAAGTGAAAGAGGAGAGTGAAAAAGCTGTCTTAAAAGTCGACATTCAAAAAACTAAGATCATGGCATCCAGTCCTATCACTTCATGGCAAATAGATGGGGAAACAATGAAAACAGTGACAGACTTTATTTTCTTGGGCTCCCAAATTGCTGCAGCTGGTGACTGCAGCCATGAAATTAAAAGACGCTTGCTCCTTGGAAGAAAAGCTATGACAAACCTAGAGAGCATATTAAAAATCAGAGACATCATTTTGCCGACAAAGGTCCATCTAGTCAAAGCTTTGGTTTTTCCAGTAGTCATGTATGGATGTGAGAGTTGGACTACAAAGAAAGCTGAGCACTGAAGAATTGATGCTTTTGAACTGTGGTGTTGGAAAAGACTCTTGAGAGTCCCTTGGACTGCAAGGAGATCCAACCAGTCTATCCTAAAGGAAATCAGTCCGGAATATTCATTGGAAGGACTGATTCTGAAGCTGAAACTCCAATACTTTGGCCACCTTATGCAAAGAAGTGACTCACTGGAAAAGACCCTGATGCTGGGAAAGACTGAAGGCAGGAGAAGGGGGCGACAGAGGATGAGATGGTTGGATGGCATCACCAACTCAATGGACATGAGTTTCAGCAATGGACAGGGAAGCCTGGCGTGCTGCAGTTCATAGGATCGCAAAGACTTGGATACAACTGAGTGACTGAACTGAACTGAATCCCTCTGCTTGGAGCCTTCTTCCCCAAACAAGCATAAGTTCACTTTCTCACCTTCAAGTGTTTTTCCAGTCACCTACTTCAATGACCCTGTTTAAAAATCACTGCCTACCAATCTCCATTTGTTCTTTTTTCCTTAGTAATGATCACTTTGAGCAAAATATTTTTTTACTGTTGTTCCTCCAGTGTAATGTAAAGATTCTATTCCCTCAATGAAATGTAAGCATTCCAAAGGTAAGGATTTTGACTCTTTTATTCACTGGTATATCCCAAGCTCTTTGGCCCAGGTAGATGCTCAATAAATACTGACTACGTGAATGAACCTGAATCCACTTTTCTGAGATCACTTACTGCTTACAAGTAAATCCTGAAAAGAAGAACACTGTTCATGTCAGTTTTCTAGGCCTTCCCATCCACCTGTAGTGATGCTTCTCCTCCTTGGTATCTCAGTTCTTCTGAGTCTCACATACCAAGCTCACTGGAGCCACAGGAGCAGCATTGACTCCAGCCTTCCAGACAGCTGTAACTGCCACAAGGAACAGGGAACACAGGTGGAGGAAGGTCTAGTTAGCTGTGGAGCAGCTTCACCACCAGCAGCATTCTCAACTTTGGACACTAAGTGCAGAAAATTTTAAAGCAGTAAGGAAAAGAGTGAAGGATGAGAGGTGTTGGGCATCATCTCCAGGTAAAGCCAAGTGACCTTGCTTGACCCTGGAATAGGAGGAACCCAGAAAGATGAATCACTGTAGAATGGTTGAGTTGGAATGGTGCTGGGAGTAGTGGCTGTGATGATTGGTCCATTTCCCTGTCTCCTCCAAAAGATTATTAGTAAGTCCTGATGACAGGAAGTCTTGCAAAGTAACTTTCTAGGCTATTCCATCTGTATCTCAGATCAGAAAAAAGCAACCCTTACCACCATAGCCATGGGCTTTTCCCAGAATCAGAACCAGAGGTGCATACAGGAGAGGATAAATGACAGCTGTCATTTGGGGTAGACACCTGGGTCAAGTGTTTTATCAGAGTCATCACAACCTTGTGGCTAGAGGCCAGATCTACTCTTTGAGTATGCCGATTCAAACTTCCTCATTGCTAAAGATGTTTAGGCAGGTGTACTAGCTCCACTTAATACACTTGGAATATGTGAGTGGAAAGACATGACCCTGATTCATTTCCTGATCGAGGGCTACTCCCCAGCCCACACCCAAATAAAAGCACCACAGGCCAGGCAAGCTCTTAAGGAGTTTTTGGTGGGAGAGGAGGCCCTCAGAGATCTGAAGACCAGCGGAGGGAAGGTGTGTCCACTGAGCCGGCATTGCAACAGGAAGACTCCTTCACGAGGTGAGGCCACAGTAGGACGTGGGTGAGGGGAGGACAGGGAGGGATGGGTTCTGGTCAGATAAGAGTACCCTCAGGTGAGTGACAAGGTGGGCAAAGGGGGGACTCAATGTGGAGGGATGAGGACACACAGGGGGGAGAGGAGAGAGATGCTGGGGGCTGGGGGCACAAAATGGGGCTTTGGAGGAGATGGGGATGGAGTCGTGGAGGGTATAAAACAGAAAAGGATAGAAACAGGGACACAGAAGGAGGGAGGTGAGGGAGAGGAGATGGAGCAAGGAGTAGGAGACGTGTGGGACAGAATGAATGAAAGAAGATAGGGACACAAGATGAGGGGGACAGAGCCCTAGGATTATGGGAAGGGATCATAGCAGCTGTGGGCACGCAGAGAAGACAGGGGGAAAAAGACAGGCAGAGGGAGGAAGGAGACAGAGGGAGGGAGATGGTGATTCGGTGGAAGGAGCAGGTTCAGGAGGGCTAATTTCCACCTCCTGCTCTCCATCCCCAGAGACCCCAGTCCTCCCTTCCAACTGTGCCCCCTAAGACAGATGGCGCCAGCCAGAGCAGGATTCTGCCCTCTGCTGCTGCTCCTGCTGCTGGGGCTGTGGGTGGCCGAGGACCCAGTCAGTGCCAGGCCTGGGAACATGACCCCAGCTCAGTGGTTTGAAATTCAGCATGTGCAGCCCAGGCCTCAAGGCTGCAACGCCGCCATGCGCAAAATCAACAAGTTTTCCAAACGCTGCAAAGACCTCAACACCTTCCTACATGAGTCCTTCTCCAGTGTGGCCACCACTTGTCAGACTCCCAACAAAGCCTGCAAGAATCATAAGAATAACTGCCACCAGAGCCAGAAGCCTGTATCCCTGACCGACTGTAAGCTCACCTCAAAGAGATACCCAGACTGCAAGTACAAGGAGAAGAAACGGGTCGCTTCTTACATCGTGGCCTGTGACCCTCCCAAGAAAGGGGACTCTGGGAAATTCAAGCTGGTTCCTGTCCACTTGGAAAAAGTCCTTTAGGTTTCCAGCCTACCTTGTGCTTGAGCTAATTCCCTCTTCAGACCTCTGGACCACTCCTCCACCCAGAAGGTTCTCTTCTGACATCTCTTGGGACACTTCCTGGCTCAAGCTCCTCTGAAAAGATAGAGGCCTGGAGGGCTGAGGTGATACCTTAGCAGGCTAAGCTCTGGAAGAGATGGTGATCTCTCTACTTTTTATTGCTGTTTTTTCAGAAGTTTATCCCCAATAAGCTTAAGGGTGTGGGTTCCTTGGTCTGTGCCTCGTACATCTCTCCCGTGCCCTATCTTCTTATGGCAGCATGGCACGAGGAAGAAAGGACTGGAAAAAGCGTGTATGGGATTTAGGAAAGAGTTACTCCGGTTCCTAAACTAGGCCTCTTCCCCAGCCCTGATGTGGTGGTGAGGTGGCCTGTGTGCAGGGAGGCGGCCGGAAAGGAAGAGAAGGAGGCCATAGCACATCACAATGATTGGGCATTTCAGGCTCTTCATGGTGTGTCCACGGGCGTCCCTTGTGAGACAGACTTGACAGAGATTACTTACTTCTTTAGGGATGAGGAAATTGAGGTTTCAGATGGCTTTATTAATTAAAGAGCTTGTCAGGGAGGTTCGTAGCAGAATTTGGACTTGAAACCAGGTCTCCTGACTCTGCCTGCCGTGCACTTTCTAGTTTATCACTGGGCCCGAAATGGAGAGCTCTGCAGGGACCAGGGGGTTACTGGGTGAGAGTTCACCCGTGAGGCAATGTCGGGGAGCTCCGAAGAGCCAGTTACGCCATGCTGGCTGCAGGAAAGGTCATTACCTCTCTAGCCAAGGGACTGCTGCTGAGGTGTTCCAAGGATCGTAATCCTCACTCTTCCCTGCACCCCACCCCCGCCCCGCCGCTCTGCCCTCCCCTTCTCCAGCCCACTACTCTTCCGTCCTGGGCCCTGGGCCTGGCTCTGGCTGGCTGGATCGCTTAGCCCTGAAGGCACAGTGCGTCAGGGAAGTGTCCCAGCTTCATCCCGCTGTTCCAGGATCACATTTCCCTTGACCTCAAGGGACTTCCGTGGCCCAGTGCCTGCTTGTCACAAACAAGCTTGTGGGAGCTGCCAGAGCTTCCTTCCTCCCGATAATGATCTCTCCTGCTTGGTGCTTCCCTGGCTCTCCGCTCTGGCTGTCCGCCCAGGCCAGAGGGGTTGAGATGTGGAAATGCCACCTCCCTGTCCCCCAAGGGCTGCAGACACCAGTTCTCCCTTCCTGGTGAGCAGAACTGGAGAAACTATTGGTTTCTGTCAGCTCAGTGCTGATAGCCTCCCACTCATAGCCCCTACCCAGCATTGTCTGCAGCCCTGACCATCACCAGCCCCTTCTCTCTCTCTTAATCTCAGTCCCAAACTTCACTATGCCCATGCCCACCCTAGCTGAGCACCTAAAGACTACCTTGTTAGACCTTCCCTTCCCGGCTGCGGAGTCTACTGCCTACCTGTCCCTTCCCAACACTCCAGTGTTCCTTTATGCCTTACCAGAGTCAGGTAAGCTTTGGAGCCAGATACAATTGGGTATAAATCTTGGCTCAGTCCTTTGTGACTACATGTCTTCAAGAAAACCAGCACCTCTTTGCAACTATGTTTCCATGTATATTGGAGTAATACCAACTACCCAATAGGATTTCAAGAAGACTTAGAAATGACATTTTTGAAGTCTCAGTCAACCCCTGGCACTGGTAAGCAGTCAATAATAATAGCTAGTAGCAGGCAGTAGTAGCAATAACCCTATCATATCCACTTTTGGCTAGACAGACCAGGTGGTTTGAGATGGTGAGGGAAGGGATGATGAAAACAATGGGGAGCAAAACATCGAACACTTCAAGCCAAGTGTGGGGCCAATACATTGATGATCCTTAAAAGTAGAGGGGCAGTAAATATACTTTATAGCCAAATGACTGAATGTAAAGTCTACATATCTATGGTCACTGTGCTATACATTTATCACTCTAAATAGACGATTTTCAATGGAGGTATATGGATAACCATGACTGACGGGTAGCTGATTTTTTGCTTTTCACTTTTTTCTTCTTTAACAACTCTTTTTATACTATTTATTGATGATTTTTCTTATGGATATTATGGTTTTGGAAGACATCCTCCTCATAAACTTCTTAAGTGGCTAAAATTAATGTATTCTCTCAAAATAAAAAGAATTTTCAAATATAATTTTTTTTTCTTGAAGGACTCATAATCTCAAAATTAAACATAATTCTAAAGCAATCTATGACGATAATGGTCAGAATAGTGGTAGCCTTAGGGAGTACTAACTGGGAAGGTATAGGAAGTAAGCTGGAAGTGTTTGATTCCTGCTCTGGATATGCTTACTTTGTGAAAATTTACTGCACTGCACATTTATGATCTGTGTACTTTACTGCATGGAAATTATGCCTCAGTTTTAAACTCTTCCCAAAAAGTGTAGTTTTTAAAGATTAGTTTATTTAACATGAGAAATGCTAATACATCAATTCACAAATATTATAATAAAATAAAATCACAGAATCATGATCTAATCCATTTCTATCATCCTACTTTGTACTATTTGTTAAATTAAATAGTAGTTGTACTATTTACCCACACCAGGGTGTGGCTTAAGCTCTCTTGGAGGGGGTCATCATTAACCCCATAGAGCCACCAGAACTTACACAGGACTGGGGAAACAGACTCTTGGAGGGCACAAACAAGACCCTGTGTGCATCAGGACTGAGGAGAAAGGAGCACTGACCCCACAAGAGACTGACTCAGACTTGCCTGTGAGTGTCCAGGAGTCTCCGGCAGAAGCGTGAGTCAGCTGTGGCCTGCTGCAGGGTCAGGGGCACTGAGTGTGGCGGTGCATGCATGGGACCTTTTGAAGGAGGTCATCCTTATCGCCAGGTCAGTAGGTGCCCAACAGGCTACTGGAGAAGAGTGGAGAAATAACTCCAGAAAGAATGAAGAGACAGAGTCAAAGCAAAAACAATGCCCAGTTGTGGATGTGACTGGCGATGGAAGTAAAGTCCAGTGCTGTAAAGAACAATATTGCATAGGAACCTGGAATGTTAGGTCCATGAATCAAGGCAAATGGAAGTGGTCTAACAGGATGGCAAGAGTGAACATCGATATTTTAGGAATCAGTGAACTAAAATGGACAGGAATGGGCAAATTTAACTCAGATGACCATTATATCTACTACTGTGGGCAAGAATCCCTTAGAAGAAATGGAGTAGCCATCATAGTCAACAAAAGAGTC